GGGGTTATCCCATGGGAGCTCTCCCGTGCGGGGTTATCCCATGGGAGCTCTCTCCGGGCAGTGTGCGGGCAGTCCTCGGGCGGCGTGGAGGACGAGGGCGAGTCGCAGGCGGGCTGGATCGAGGGCGCTGCCATCCTCTTCTCCGTCATCATCGTGGTGCTGGTGACGGCCTTCAACGACTGGAGCAAGGAGAAGCAGTTCCGGGGGCTGCAGAGCCGCATCGAGCAGGAGCAGAAGTTCACGGTGATCCGCAAGGGCCAGGTGATCCAGATCCCCGTGGCCGAGATCGTGGTGGGGGACATCGCCCAGATCAAGTACGGTGAGTGGGGCTGGAGCTGTGCTTCCCCTGGGATCCTGCTTCTCCAGACCTTCTTCCTTGAGGACAAGCAGCTCCTCTGGTTGCTCCATGAAAATGCTGCCACGGAGGTGATGGAGCTCCACTCACCTTCTCTTTTTGGCCTGGAGCTGTGATGAGCTTTGATGAACTGCATCGGAATTAATTTATTTTATTGGTTTGCGTTAGTTTATTTTCCCAACCTTGCCCCTGCTGAGGATATTTCCTTATCCAGGAGATGTTGAGGAATATTTCCTTGGCCAGGAGATGTTGGGGAGTGTTTCCTTATCCAGGAGGTTTAGGGGAACATTTCCTCATCCAGGAGATATTGGTGGATATTTCCTTATCCAGGAGGTGCTGGGGAGTATTCTGTTATCCAGGAGATGTTGAGGAATATTTCCTTATCCAGGAGATTTTGGGGAGCATTTCCCTATCCTGGAGGTTTTGGGGAGCATTTCCTCATCCAGGAGATGCTGGGGAATATTTCCTTATCCAGGAGGTTTTGGGGAATATTCTGTTATCCAGGAGATGTTGCTGGATGTTTCCTCATCAGGAGTTCGTGGGGAATATTCTGTTATCCAGGAGATGCTGGGGAATATTTACCCAGGAGTTGTTGGGGATTATTTCCTTGGCCTGGAGGTACTGGTGGATGTTTCCTTATCCAGGAGCTGCAGCCTTTGGGATCAATCAGACCCTGCTCCTCGTTTCCCAGGGGGAATATTCCTCCCATTCAGGAAGGAGATTGATCCAACACCGTGTTTGTTTTCCCAAGGGCCAGATTCCATACTTGGCAGGTGGATACGGTGGATTTTGGATGCATCAGGAGCTCTGGGAAGGATTCATTAAAACCAGATGGGGAAGCGCTGAGCAAAATCCTCCCCAGGAGCCTCCAGTGAGGATTTGGGAGCTCTTGGATTTCACCTGATTGCACCTGTCCCTTACAAACCTCCCTCCAGAGCTGCTCTGAGCCCAAGTTTTGGATCCTTTTGGAGCATTCCTGTGGCATGCAGCAGGCAGGGCTGAGCCCAGGCCGGGCTGATCCCTGGTTTTCCTCCTCTCCAGGTGATCTCCTGCCTGCAGACGGGATCCTCATCCAGGGCAATGACCTGAAGATAGACGAGAGCTCGCTGACGGGGGAGTCAGACCAGGTGAAGAAATCCATGGATAAAGACCCCATGCTGCTGTCAGGTGAGGGTTTTGGGGTGGATGCAGGGCTGGGGTGAGTTTGGGCTGGGATCAGGGTGGGCTCTGCTCTCAGGGAGGTGTCCAAGGCCAGGCTGGACAGGGCTTGGAGCAGTCTGGGAGAGGAGAAGTTGTCCCTGCCCGTGGCAGGGGGTGGAACAGGGAGGGGTTGAAGGTCCCTTCTGAGCCAAACCAGTTTGGGATTCTGTGGGATGGGACTGGGAGTCTCACCTGTGTGCCCATGGTGTTCCTGCCCTGCCAGGTACCCACGTGATGGAGGGCTCGGGCAGGATGGTGGTGACTGCCGTGGGCATCAACTCCCAGACAGGGATCATCTTCACCCTCTTGGGAGCAGGAGAAGGTGACGAGGAGAAGAAAGTGAAGAAAGGTAAGAAAATGCCCTGAACCTGCCTTTTCCCTCCTTTCTCCCTTTCCTGGGAAGCATCCACAGGCTCCTCCCTACATCAGGGTCAGCTGGAACAGGGAGAGGTTGGGGGTCCCTCCCGGTCCCCTCCACCTGGTCCCCCCGTGCTCCCAGACCTCTTTGGGACCCTTCTCCAGCAGCCTGCTCTCCATCCTGGAGCTGTGGGTGGGGGGATCAAGGATCCCCCGGGAAGAGGGGCCGGTGGCAGCTCCCCTGCACTGCTCCTTGCCCACCCCGTGGTGGTGGGAAGGTGAGTCCTGGGTGCCCACAGGGTGTTTTTAGCCCATCCAAACCCTGCAGGACTTGGCTGAGGATCTCCTGAGCATTCCCTGAGCTCCCTGGGGGAAAGGAGGGGATGGCAGGAGGCAGAGGAGGGGTGGGACAGCAGCCAGGCCGAGGTGTTCCCATCGTGCTGGGACTGGAGCGCTCTGCTGTCTCAGCTTTCACATCCAGCAGCTTATTCCCTGCTGGGGAAGCTCCCTGTGTCCCTGATGCCCTGCTCAGCAGGTTTGGCCTCACCGGGATCAGGCGCTGGCAGCAGCATCAGGCTGGCACTGCCAGCTGCTCCGGCATCCCCGCGCCAGGGAGCCCTTCCCGGGAGGCGATGCCAGGCGGGAGAGGCTCCCGGGCTGTGCTGGCTGCCAGCTCCCAGCTCTGCAGCTGGATCCTGCCTTCCCCAGCTCCCGAGCTGGATCCTGCCTTCCCCAGCTCTGGGTGTGGATTCTGCCTTCCCCAGCTCTGGAACTGGATCCTGCCTTCCCCACCTCCAGAGCTGGATCCTGCCTTCCCCAGCTCTGGGTGTGGATTCTGCCTTCCCCAGCTCTGGAACTGGATCCTGCCTTCCCCACCTCTAGAGCTGGATCCTGCCTTCCCCAGCTCCAGGACTGCCAGGATTTGGGAGCTGTGGAGCTCCAGGGTTTGGCTGCCACCACGGAGGTGGCAGGACAAGAAGCCCTGGGAGTGGCACTGGAATGGCACTGGGAGCCACCCAGTGCTTGCAGCTTTCCCAGCCTTCAGACTCAATGGATTTGGGAGCAGAGCAGGCCAGGGCGTGCCACCAGTTTGTCCCCACTGGAGCTCTGGGGTGACATAAAGCCCTTGTCACCTGAGGCTGTCTGAGGTGCACCCCCATGTGCCACCTGGACAGATTTTGGGGGTCACACCTCCCTGCTCTGGGTCTGGTGCTGTCCACAGTGGGGGACAAGTCTGCGCTCCCCATCTGGATCTGATGGCAGCAGGAGGGAGGGACCTGGAGCTGCAGGAGGGTTTCTTCTCCTGAAAACCTGCTCTGTGGTGCCTCCTCCTGAAAATCTGAGGCACCTCCAACACCCTCAAGGCACTGCTGGGGTTTGGGGGTGATTTACAGGTGGGGAAAAGCAGAATCCTTGGGAAAGGGGTGCCCAGGGCAGCCTGGGAGCTCTGGAGCCTCGAGCTGTGTGGACCAAGGCGTGGTGTCCAGAAGGTGACCACTGGAGTGGCCCCTGGGAGCATCCCAGCTGGATGGGGAATGTGGCTCCTTGTGCTCAGCCCTCCCCCCTTTCTCTCTTTGAACAGGTAAAAAAAGCGGAGCCCCCGAAAACCGCAACAAAGGTAACGCCAGCCTCTCCATCCTTTGAACCAGCACCACACTAACTACCAAGCATTCCTCCTTCCTTCCTTCCTCCTTCTTCCTTCTCCTCATCAGTCTGTGCTCTTTGCTGCTCCGGCGGGACTCTCGCCTCGTTTCTCCAGGACAGGGTGCAAAGGTCCCGTGGTGTCCCCAAAACCCCACCCCAAGGCAGTGATGCCTTGCTGGGACTACCCAGAAACAGAGGCCAGACAGAATTAAAGGCATAAAAACCAGTTTTGTTTATTGAAGGGCCTTCAGGTGCATTTAGGGCAGATGGAGCCCGCCCAAAAATGGACCACGGGTTTTCACACTTTGATAAGTTTGGTTCATTTGCATATTGGGGGTTAATCTGCCAATTACAGCTTCAGGTAATGAAGGCATTGACCCCAAGTTTGCTCCCCCAACTCACTTTTGTTTCCATCTCTCAAGGCCTGAGGCAGTGAGGTGTTGTTGATTCCCAGGCCTGGAGAGGAATGGTTTTGTAAAAATGGGAGAGCAGTAGCTCACACTGGATATGGAGTTTAGAGTTCTACACTAAAGAACTGCAGGATTATAAATGTATGAAAAGATAAAAGCTAAAATCCTAAGGCATCACTGGGATGAACCTTCCCATTGTTCCTGCCTGGGGAAAAGCCATTTTTCAGGGAGGAAAAGGCTCTTCGGCAGGACTTCAGCAGAGCATCCCTTTCTTGGGATACCTCCATGAGTCCCAGCAGGGATTTGGTGGTTTAAAGCTGTCCCTGCAGGGGGTTGGTGTTCAGGGCAGAGCTGGGGGTGCCCTCCTGGCATTCCTGGGATGAGATCTCCCCCAGGGCCTGGCCCACGGGACGCTTGCACCCTGTCCTGCCATGGCCTCGACTCCGTGAGCGTCTCCTCGCCAGTGTTTCTCACCCTGTTCTTTGCAGGCTGTGGAGGAAGCCCCATTTCTGCACCTCTCTCTCTCCACCCCTCTCTCTGTTTCTGTTTCTCTCTCTGTTTCTCTCTCTCTCAGCAGTTTGAGTTGCCCTCCTTGCCGTCAGGTGTGTCCGGGTGCTTTGTTGTGTCCGTGTCGGGTCTCTTGTCACCGTGGAGCTTCCTCTCTGGAGCTGCTCCGGGGTGGCCTCCAGCCCAGGAGGGGACAGGTCCCGGGGTGGCCCTGGGGCCACTGCTGCTCCTCCAGCTCCAGTGGCTCAGGAGGAGCCTCTGGTGGGCTGCCCATCCCTCTGCAAAGCTTCCAGGCTTGGGTTTACCCTTCCAGCTGGGTTAGCCCAGGTTTAGGAACGGGAAGCCGGGCTGTCTCGGGTCCCAGAGGCGTGGTGGATGGCTCCAGGCTGGGATTGGAGGATTCCTGGCTCCCTGCTCTTCAGTCTCCATCCCAATTTCTAACCCTCCCCTCCATCTCACCCCCTCCGTCGCTTCCCTGGGCTGCCCACAGGGCACTGCAGAGGTGGCACTGGGGGACCTGGGGACACTCATCGAGGGACTGGGGACACTGGAGCATCTCTGGGCTCTTACCAAAGCGCTCCCAGTCCTCTGCAGGCTTAGAGGCTGGAAGAGACCCCAAAATCTGGCCTAGAGGGTCTGTTGCCTAGAGAGTCACCTCTGAGGATCCCTTATCCGTGGGCAGGGGGTAGAGGATGGAAAACCACCCCGGAGAGAGGTGGCAGGGCCCTGGACACGGAGCTTCCATGTGCTCGGACGCGTGTGTGCTCGGGAGTGGTTCTTGTCCTGGATTTCTCTCTCTCTCTCTCTCTGCCACCACCATCCTCCTCAGTGGTGTCCTCCAGGCTGGCCTGGGTCTCTCCTGTTCACACGTGGTGTCTTCTTTTGCCCCCTGGGCTGTAGCTAAAACTCAGGATGGTGTGGCCTTAGAGATCCAGCCCCTGAAGAGCCAGGAGGGGGTGGAAAATGAGGAGAAGGAGAAGAAGAAGGTGAAGGTGCCCAAGAAGGAGAAGTCGGTGCTGCAGGGGAAGCTCACGCGCCTGGCGGTGCAGATCGGGAAGGCAGGTGAGTGACAGTGACAGTGACAGTGACAGTGACCCCAGAGCTGCTGGGGAAGGGCTGTCCCTGTCCCCTGTGTCCCCAGAGCTGCTGGGGGAGGGCTGTGCTTGTTCCCATTGTCCCCAGAGCTGGTGAGGAATCACTGTCCCTGTCCCCAGTGTCCCCAGAGCTGATGAGGAAGGGCTGACCCTGTCCCCTGTGTCCCCAGAGCTGGTGAGGAATCAGTGTCCCCAGAGCTGGTGAGGAAGGGCTGATCCTGTCCCCGGTGTCCCCAGAGCTAGTGAAGAAGGGCTGACCCTGTCCCCTGTGTCCCCTCTCATCATCCTTGTCCCCTTTCCGGGTGTCCCCAGAGCTGGTGAGGAAGGGCTGACCCTGTCCCCGGTGTCCCCTCACCTCATCCTCGTCCCCAGGGCTGATCATGTCGGCCATCACCGTCATCATCTTGGTGCTCTACTTTGTCATCGACACCTTCGGGGTGCAGAAGCGGCCCTGGCTGGCCGAGTGCACCCCCATCTACATCCAGTACTTCGTCAAGTTCTTCATCATCGGTGTCACCGTGCTGGTGGTGGCCGTGCCCGAGGGGCTCCCGCTGGCCGTCACCATCTCGCTGGCCTACTCCGTCAAGGTGAGGCCCGGGCGTGAGGAGGAGGGACGGGGTGACGGCGGCGAGGCCGGCCCTGACCTTCTGCGTGCTTGCAGAAAATGATGAAGGACAACAACCTGGTGAGGCACCTGGACGCCTGCGAGACCATGGGCAACGCCACGGCCATCTGCTCGGACAAGACGGGCACGCTGACCACCAACCGCATGACCGTGGTGCAGGCCTACGTGGGGGACACCCACTACCGCCAGATCCCCGACCCCGAGGCCATCCTGCCCAAAATCCTGGACCTCATCGTCCACGGCGTGGCCATCAACTCTGCCTACACCTCCAAAATCCTGGTGAGCTGCAGCATCAAAGCTTGGCGGTGTGCCGGTGACTTGAGAGGGTACCCAGAATACAGAGTTAGAGGAATAAAGTAGGGATTTGTTAAAATGTAGTGACAGTGACCCCAGAGCTGCTGGGGAAGGGCTGTCCCTGTCCCCTCACCTTGTCCCCTGTCCTACCTGCCCAAGGTGTATCTTCAAGGACACACCTTGGGCAGTACAAGAGCCTGGCCATGGCTCCACCCAAGATGGACACCTGGTCACGAGTTTTCACACTTTTATAAGTTCTGCTCCATTTCCATATTGGGGTTAATTGTCCAATCACAGCTCCAGGTGATGCAGTCCCATCCTGCCAGATGGCTCTCCTCCATTCCCTGTTGTTTGCACTTTTTGGAGCTGAAGCTGCAGTGCTGTCCTTGGTTCTGAGGCTGGAAAAGGATTGTTGTGTGTGACTGAGCTGTGAGGAGACCATGTGGAGCTCACAGTTGTATCCTAATGCAGTACAGAGTCTGGAAAATATGAGAGCTAAACCTTAAGGCATCGTTCTGCCCATCATTCCATCATTGCACCCTGCTCCACCCTCGGGATTGGCATTGCTTTTCCCTCCTTTTTGCAGCCACCAGAGAAGGAAGGGGGGCTGCCCCGCCAGGTGGGCAACAAGACCGAGTGTGCCCTGCTGGGCTTCGTGCTGGACCTGAAGCAGGATTACCAGGCTGTGCGCAACGAGGTGCCCGAGGAGAAGCTCTACAAGGTCTGAAACGGAGTAGAAATTCAGCAGGGTAGAAATCCAGATTTAGGTGTCTGTGGCTGGCTAGCGTAGATGAAATGTGCTGTTTTAACTTGTTTGGTCTGTTAACTCTGCTGTGCTCGCAAACTGCCTCAGCTAAGGAAAAAGAATGGGAACTCCCAAACTGAAAAGGGAGATAAGAGGGGCCCCTTGAACTTTGAAACAAGGGTGAGAGCCAAAGCTGAAGCTGCAAAGACACAGTGACCAGAGAGTTCTCTGTACAAGGACTAATTGCAAGTTGTAACACAAAACCAGTAAAATGAATATACGTAAACTTATTGTGAAACTCTGTGCATATGTACAATAAAGGGGGGGATAAAAAAAGGTTTGGGAATTCTCAGGAGGAATTCTGCATCCCAGAGCTGATGAGGATTGGGAATTCCTTGGGATTTCCCTTTGGGAATTCTCAGGGGCGTGCATGTCTTTGGGATTTCCCTTTGGGAATTCTTTGGGATTTCCTTTGGGAATTCCTTTGGGGTGTGCATTCCTAGGGGGACCGACCCCCACAGCGCTGCAATAAACACACCACCTTTACAGCATTTACAAGCTGCGGAGTGAGTTTGCTGTTTTTCCCCCACAAACCAGGTGTACACCTTCAACTCCGTGCGCAAGTCCATGAGCACCGTGCTGAGGAGCAGCGGCGGCGGCTTCCGCATGTACAGCAAGGGCGCCTCCGAGATCATCCTGCGCAAGTAAATCCTGCTGCTGCCCCCTCCCCTGGGGGCTGGGGGCGTGTGGGGAAGCCTCGGGGAAAGGGGGTGTCCGGATGGGGTGCCAGGAGTGGTTTTTGGGTGGGTTTGGGGAAGTTGGAGGGAGCTGTGAAAAAGGGGATAGTCCCTTTCTGTGGGTGGGGTGCCAGGAATGTGCCAAGTGGTTTTTGGGTGGGTTTGGGAATGTTGGAGGGAGTTGTGGAAGGGGGATGAGCCCCTATGAGCCCCTTTTGGAAGTGGGGTGCCAGGAATGTGCCAAGTGGTTTTTGGGAAAGCTGGAGTGGGCTGTGAAAAGGGGGATAGTCCCTTTTTGTAGATGGGGTGCCAAAAATGTGCTGAGTGTTTTTAGGGAGGGTTTGGGAAAGTTGGAGGAGGTTGTGGAAGGGAGATGAGCCCCTTTTTGTAGATGGGGTGCCAGGAACGTGCTGATTGTTTTTTGGGTGGGTTTAGGAAATCTGGAGGGAGCTGTGCAAGGCGGGGGGGGGGGGGTCTCTTCTATAGATGGGGTGACAGGAATGTGCTGAGTGGTTTTTGGGTGGATTTACGAAATCTGGAGGGGGTTGTGGAAAGGGAACAGCCCCTTTTTGTAGATGGGGTACCAAGAATGTGCCAAGTGTTTTTTGGGTGGGTTTGGGAAAGCTGGAGGGAGTTGTGGAAGGGGGATCTGCCCCTTTTTGTGGATGTGGTGACAGGAATGTGCTGAGAGTTTTTTGGGTGGGTTTAGGAAATCTGGAGTGGGCTGTGAAAAAGGAACAGCCCCTTTTTTATGGATGGGGTGCCAGGAATGTGACCCTGCCTGTTCCCTCAGGTGCACCAAGATCCTGGACAAGAGCGGCGAGCCGCGGGTGTTCAAGGTGAAGGACAGGGACGAGATGGTGAAGAAGGTGATCGAGCCCATGGCCTGCCACGGGCTCAGGACCATCTGCCTGGCGTTCCGGGATTTCCCTGCGGAGGCAGAGCCCGACTGGGACAGCGAGAACGAGATCCTGTCTGACCTGACCTGCATCGCTGTGGTGGGGATCGAGGATCCCGTACGGCCCGAGGTGACAAATCCAACCTGTCCTGCACTGTTCCCGGCCCTCCTCCTGCTGCTCAGGGCTGTGATCCCCTCGGGAACTCCAGCAATTCCCCTGTGCCCATCCCTGATGTTCCCCCAAGGAATTCCAGCAGCTCCTCTGTGACCACTCCTGATGATCCCCCGGTCTGTTTTCCAGCTGTTTCCCAGCTGTTTTCCTGTCTGTTTCCCCAGCCGTTTCCAGTCTATTTTCCAGCTGTTTTCCAGCTGTTTTCCTGTCTGTTTTCTAGCTGTTTTCCTGTTTGTTTTCTGGCTGTTTCCTGTCTGTGTTCCTGTTTTCCCGTCCATTTTCCGTTTCCTGGCATTTCCCCAGCTGTTTCCGGACCATTTTCTAGCTGTTTTCCAGCTGTTTCCTGGTGTTTTCCTGGCTGTTTCCAGTCTCCTTTCCTGCCTGTTTTCCAGCTGTTTCCCAGCTATTTCCTGGCTGTTTCCAGTCTCTTTTCCTGCCTGTTTTCCAGCTGTTTCCCAGCTGTTTCCTGGCTGCTTCCTGTCCATTTCCCAGCTGTTTTCCAGCTGTTTCCTGTCTGTTTCCCAGCTGTTTTCCTGTTTTCCCAGCTGTTTCCCAGCTTCTCTGCACCGTGGCTCTGTCTGGGAAAGCTGGGCTGCCTCGGCCTGTCCCTGTGAGCTCTGGAGCTCTCCTGGCCCTGCTGAGCAGGGGTTGGCTCCAGCTCCAGGGGCTTTTCCTGCTGGGCACGTCCCTGCAGAGCCAGGCAGGAGCGTGACTCACCCCTGGCTTTGTCCCCAAGGGCATCGCGGGCACGGACGTGGCCAAGGAGGCCTCGGACATCATCCTGACCGACGACAACTTCTCGAGCATCGTCAAGGCCGTCATGTGGGGCCGCAACGTCTACGACAGCATCTCCAAGTTCCTGCAGTTCCAGCTCACCGTCAACGTGGTGGCCGTCATCGTGGCCTTCACCGGGGCCTGCATCACCCAGGTGAGCTCACCTGGGCAGGTGGGACATGGGGGAGGGCCTCATCTGGGTGGGTGGGACATGGTGGTGGCATCATTGTTGCCTTCACCGGAGCCTGCATCACCCAGGTGAGCTCACCTGGGCGGGTGGGACATGGGGGATGTCACCTTGGTGGCTGGGACATGGTGTCTGTAATCGTGGCCTTCACTGGTGCCTGCATCACCCAGGTGAGCTCACCTGGGCAGGTGGGACACAGGAGGTCTCAGAGAAAAGAAGAAATATCTTGGGGGTGTTTTAGGAAGGCGTTAAATAGCTCAGAGCAATTCTGGAGTTCTCTCCAGGAGGAGAGCGAAACAAAGAGGGAACAAAGGTTTATTTTGGTGGCGTGACATCTTCTGTCCCCTGTAGGCTGTGCAGGGAGCTTGGAGAAAAGGAGAAATGTTCGGGAATGTTTTAGGAAGGTGTTAAATACCCCAGGGCAATTCTGGAGTTCTCTTCAGGAGGAGAGTGGAACAAAGAGGGAACAGAGATTTATTTTGGTACCCAAGAGCAATTTTGCAGGGGTTTTTTGGAGGAAAGCAAAACAAAGAGAGGAACAAAGGTTTATTTTGGTGGTGTGACTGTTCTCCCCCTCATACTCACCCCTGAAGGCTGTGGAGAAAAGGAGAAAATGTTGGGAATGTTTTAGGAAGGTGTTGAATACCTAAGAGCAATTTTGCAGAGGTTTCCAGGAGGAGAGTGAACCAAAGAGGGAACAGAGGTTTATTTTGGTACCCAAGAGCGATTTTGCAGGGGTTTTTAGGAGGAAAGCAAAACAAAGAGGGGAACAAAGGTTTATTTTGGTGATGTGACTGTTCTCCCCCTCAGGACTCCCCCCTGAAGGCTGTGGAGAAACGAAGAAATTTTTGGGAATGTTTTAGGAAGATGTTGGAATACCTAAGAGCGATTTTGGAGAGGTTTTCAGGAAGAAAGCAAAACAAAGAAGGAACCGAGGTTTATTTTGATGATGTGACTGTTTGATCCCTCTCAGGACTCCACCCTGAAAGAACAAAGGTTTATTTTGGTGATGTGACTGTTCTCCCCCTCAGGACTCCCCCCTGAAGGCTATGGAGAAAAGGAGAAATATTTGGGAATTTTTTAGGAAGATGCTGAATACCTAAGTGCAATTTTGGAGAGGTTTTCAGGAGGAGAGCGAAACAGAGGGAACAAAAGTTTATTTTGATGGTGTGTCTGTTTAATCCCCCTTAGGGTTCTCCCCTGAAGGCCGTGGAGAATAGGAGAAATTCTGGGGAATGTTTTAGGAAGATGTTGAGTACTCAAGAGCGATTTTGGAGAGGTTTTTAGGAGGAGAGCAAAACAAAGAAGGAACGAAGGTTTATTTTGGTGGCATGACACGTTCTCCCCCCTCAGGACTCGCCCCTGAAGGCCGTGCAGATGCTGTGGGTGAACCTGATCATGGACACGTTCGCCTCGCTGGCGCTGGCCACGGAGCCGCCGTCGGAGTCGCTGCTGCTGCGCAAACCCTACGGGCGCAACAAGCCGCTCATCTCCCGCACCATGATGAAAAACATCCTGGGCCACGCCGTCTACCAGCTCACCATCATCTTCACCCTGCTCTTCGCTGGTCAGCCACAGCGCCACGGCGTCCTGGGAGGGAGGGGAGGAAAGGGGAGAGGGGAAAGGGAAAGGGAAAGGGAAAGGGAAAGGAGGGGAGAAAAGGAAAACGAAAGGGAATGAGAAAGGGGGAAAGGAAAGGCGAAAAAGAGAGGGGAAAGGGGAAAAAGGAAAAGGAAAGGAGAAAAGGGGAAGGGAAAGGAGAAAAGGAAAAGGTAAGGGAAAAAAGGAGAAGGAAAGGAGAAAAGGAAAGGGGAAAGGAAAGGAAAAAAAGAAAAGGCAAGGGAAAAAAGGAAAGGGAAAAAAGGAAAGGAAAAAAGGAGGTCTTTCTTGGTTTCTATTGGATTTTTTCTATTGGTTTTCTTTCTTTCTCAGTTTTTATTGGTTTTTTTCTATTGGTTTTTCTTTCTTTCTATTGGTTTTTCTTTTTTCTTGTTTTCTATTCGTTTTTCTTCCTTTCTTGGTTTCTCTTGTTTTTTTTTTCTATTGGTTTTTCTTTCTTTCTATTGGTTTTTCTTTTTTTCTTGTTTTCTATTTTTTTCTGTATTGGTTTTTCTTTCTTTCTTGGTTTCTATTTTGGGACGTTTTGGTCATTCTATGTCAACAACCCTGCTAGAAAATTCATTCGGCGTAAACACGGATCCTCTTCTCAAGCTTCTCTCTGTCTCACAGAAATGCTGTAAAACCTCTCCCACATCTTCCCTTCCCCAAATCCCTTTTATTTCCCTGCTCAGGGGAGAAGTTTTTCGACATCGACAGCGGCCGGAACGCGCCCCTGCACTCGCCGCCCACCGAGCACTACACCATCGTCTTCAACACCTTCGTGATGATGCAGCTCTTCAACGAGATCAACGCCCGCAAGATCCACGGCGAGAGGAACGTCTTCGAGGGCATCTACCGCAACCCCATCTTCTGCACCGTGGTGCTGGGCACCTTCTTCGCCCAGGTGACCCCAGCCTGGGCGTTCGGCTTTGCTCCATGGGTTGTTCCACTGGGGTGCCATGGCTCCATGGGCTGTTCCACATGGGTTATTCCATGGCTTCCGCTTTGCTCCATGGGTTATTTCACGTGGGTTATTCCATGGCTTCCACTTTGCTCCGTGGGTTATTCCACGTGGGTTATTCCATGGCTTCCCCTTTGCTCCGTGGGTTATTCCACGTGGGTTATTCCATGGCTTCCCCTTTGCTCCATGGGTTATTCCACGTGGGTTATTCCATGGCTTCCCCTTTGCTCTGTGGGTTGTTCCACTGGGATTCCGTGGCTTCCACTTTCCTCCATGGGTTATTCCATGGCTTCCACTTTTGTTCCACGTGGGTTATTCCATTGCTTCCACTTTGCTCCATGGGTAATTCCATGGTGTCCACTTTGCTTCATGGGTTATTCCACATGGGTTATTCCGTGGCTTCCCCTTTGCTCTGTGGGTTGTTCCACTGGGATTGCTTCCAGACCGTGGAATCTCTATTCCAAATCTATGGGATGGACTAAAAACCCAAAAAGGGATTTTCTTAGGATGTTGGGTTTGGGTCTGAGCTGTGTAGGGCTGTGAGAAAGGGGCTGGGAATTCCTTGGAGGTCCCAGAGCAGGGGCCTGCCCTGTCCTGGTGTCTCTGCTGGATCCAGGAGAGCCATGGGAGCCCCAGGATTTGGTTTTCCCTGCAGCTTTTCACCCCAATTCCAGGCACGGTGCTGGATCAGGCTTTGGGAATTTATTTATGGTGGAAAGCTCTGGTTTGATGCCTTTTTATCCTGAAGGGCTGCCAGGGTGTCGCTGTTGTGTTAAGGATGGGTGAATAGAGCAACACAGAGTTCAAATTCTCAGAAGGCAAAAGGCAAATTTATTAGAAACCACGCTTTCTTTTATTGACAATTCTGCGAAAGCTGGACCTGATTGGTCCTTAATCAACACCCTCACGTCATTGGCTAATTAGGAACAGAACCCTTCTTGCACCTCTTACAAGATAACAGCACGTTCAAAACACCAGCTGCAGGATTGCTTTAATTCTTCCTCTGAGCATTCTCAAAACTTCCCAGAGCAAGGCCTGGGAAAGTTTATCTGACTCTTTCTCTGACCAGACTTTCAGCATCCACAGCAGGAGCTGTGGCACAGGCAGGCTCTGTTCTGTGCCCTTGGCCTTCACCAGCAGCACCTTGGTGGCACAAAAGCCACCCCAGAAGTGCTCAAGGCTGGGTTGGGTGGAGCTCAGAGCGACCTGAGCTGGTGGAAGGTGTCCCTGTGCATGGACCTGGGTGGGCTTTAAATCCCTTCCAGCCCAAAACATCCTGGGATTTCAGGATTTGGGGTCCAGAGTGTGTTGGGAGGTGTTTCATAAATTCCCAGCCTGAGTGGGAAGTCCCTGCTCCTCTCTGGTGTTCCACAAAATTCACAGTGTGGATGTGAGGTCCTTAATCCTAAAATTCCCAGCCTGGTGTGAGGTCCCTGCTCTTTTCTGGTGTTCCACAAAATTCCCAGCCTGGATGTGAGGTCCTTGCTCCTTTCTGGTGTTCCACAAAATTTTCCAGTCTGGATGAGAAGTCTGCACTCTCTGGTGTTCCACAAAATTCCCAGCCTGGAAGTGAGTGAGGTCCTTGCTCCTAAAATCCCCAGTCTGGAAGTGAGTGAGGTCCTTGCTCCTAAAATCCCCAGTCTGGAAGTGAGTGAGGTCCTTGCTCCTAAAATCCCCAGTCTGGAAGTGAGTGATGTCCTTGCTCCTAAAATTCCCAGCTTGGAAGTGAGTGAGGTCCTTGCTCCTCTTGTAATCCCAGGAGAGAGGGAAAAGCGTGGCCCAAGGGACATTTCCATGGCCAGGGTGTGACTCTTGTCTCCTGTGCTGCAGATCATCATTGTGGAGTTTGGTGGGAAGCCCTTCAGCTGCTCTGGGCTCACCCTGAGCCAGTGGTTCTGGTGCATTTTCATCGGAGTGGGAGAGCTCCTGTGGGGCCAGGTAAGGGTCAACCCCAAAATCCTGCCCCATCTTTCCCTCCCTGCCCTTGATCTCCGTGGTTTTTCTCCAGGGCAGCTCTTCAGGAAGGTGTTTAGGAAGGGGCTGATGCCCCTCCTCAGTCCCACGCAGCTGCAGAGGGACACGCCCAGCAGTGACAGGGACATTCCTGGTGTCCCCACTGGCAGCTCCCCTGGGCTGGTGGCACTGGAGCTGATGCCTTGAGAAGGCTGAGCTAGAACAGGGACTAGACAGAGCTAAAGAATAAAGCAGGGATTTATTAAAAGGATCTCCTCCATGGATCCACCTTGGGCAGCACAAGAACACAGCCAGGGCTGCACCCAAATGAACCAAAATGGGCACAAAATGAACCTGGGATGGACCAAAATGGGCACAAAATGAACCCAAGATGGACCTGAAATGGTCACAAAATGCATGACTGGTCACAAGGTCTCACCCTTTTATAAGTTCTGCTCCATTTGCATATTGGAGTTAATTGTCCAATTACATCTCCAGCCCATGCAGTCCCATCCTTGTTTTTCTCTCTTCATTCCACGTTGTTTGGGCTCCTGGGCTGAGATTCTCCTCCATGGATCCACCTTGGGCAGCACAAGAACACAGCCAGGGCTGCACCCAAATGAACCAAAATGGGCACAAAATGAACCTGGGATGGACCAAAATGGGCACAAAATGAACCCAAGATGGACCTGAAATGGTCACAAAATGCATGACTGGTCACAAGGTCTCACACTTTTATAAGTTCTGCTCCATTTGCATATTGGAGTTAATTGTCCAATTACATCTCCAGCCCATGCAGTCCCATCCTTGTTTTTCTCTCTTCATTCCATGTTGTTTGGGCTCCTGGGCTGAGATTTGGATCATTTGAAATTTGGATCATAGAGAGGGCCTGAAATTTTGATCATTTGAAACTTAGATCACAGAGGAGTTGTTTTGTCTCCCTGCCCTGGGAACAGAGCTCACCAACACTTAGTACAAAGCTCAGACCCACAGCACAGGATCTAAAACCCACAAAAGCTGAACCCGCGGCACCACCACGCCCTCAGGCTAAGTCCCTGCTGTGTCCCTGAATGTCCCCAGCTGATCTGCACCGTGCCAACGAGCCACCTGAAGTTCCTGAAGGAGGCAGGGCACGGCATCACCAAGGAGGAGATCCCCGAGGAGGAGCTGCCCGAGGACGTGGACGAGATCGACCACGCGGAGATGGAGCTGCGGCGGGGGCAGATCCTGTGGTTCCGGGGGCTCAACAGGATCCAGACCCAGGTACTGGGGGGCAGCAGGGCTGGGGGGCTCTGCCTGCTGTGTCTCCTCCTGTCTCTCTCCCCCTGCAGGGGCTCTGTCTGCTGAGAGGTGACAGCTGCTGCTCGCAGGATGCCGTCGCGTCCCGGGCCAGGCTTAGACCTGTGCCTTTGCAGGGAGCCAGGAAAACCTGGATTTTGGGACAGCTGGGGGTGGGGGGAGGCTGTTGTGCTGCAGGCACCGTGCTGCTGCTCAGCAGGAGGCTGGATGTGTCACTGGTGGTCACCTCTGCAGCACAGGAGGCTGTGAGGGGTGCACGGAGCCCCCAGGCTCTGCTGGGATGCTGTTCCCAGTGGGAATGTGCCCAGCAGGGATCTGCCAGCACCAGAGCCTCCCTGGTGTGGCTCCTTGTGGCTCCTTGTGCCACCCCTCTGTGCCAGCTCCCTGTGCCCCACACCCAGAGCTCAGCCCCACAGCACACGAGGGGAGAAAATCTGTGTCTTCTTTTTACATCTCTTGGTTTTCCCTCACTTTCTCCCCTGATTTTTTCCTTTTTCCCCACCCCAGAAGGGTGGATTTTTGCTCCCACCAAGCAGGGAGAGCTCCGTGCCCCTCACTTTCCCTGGAGGCCAGGGCAGAGCTGTCCCATGGAGGGAAGTCCTGGTGTCCCCAGGCAGGCAGAGCTGCTGGGTCACCTTTGTTCCTCCTCTGTGACAAACAAACGGGGACAGGGGCTGGGGCAGAGGTCACTTCCCTTCTCTGTGGCTTCAAGGTGAAGCTCAGCCTCGGTTCCTGGCTGGTTGGGAGCCCCGAGGGGCAGCTGGCTCTGTGTGGGGGTAACCAGTGCTTCACTGACATGAGGAACGTGCTGGGATCTTCCAGGACCTCCTGGAAGTGCTGCAGATGTGCTGGAAACCTGGGAGCTCTGCAGGGCTGCAGTGCCAGAGGTGCCCCTGGAGCTTCCTGGGTGCTTCCCTGTGCTGGAGCTGAGATGAGCTCCTGCCACGTGAGAAATGGCTGGCACCTCCTGGATCCTCTCTGGGGTCCAACCTGAGCACTGGGGGGTCTCCTGTCCCCATTTGGGGTGTGTGAAAAGGGCTCAGGGGAGAAGTGGGACATCAGAGTGGGGCAGGAGCAAAGCCATGTGTGAAACACCTGGGGCTGGAGGAGGTGCCCAGAAGGTGCCACAGGGCTGGCATCACCCAGCCACAAAGTGCCCAGGAAGCCACGGATGCTGCTCAGTTCCTCAAGCCCACTGAGGAACAGTTCCTCAGTTCCACGGATGCTGCTCAGTTCCTGGAGCCTTGGGACACATCCACAGGGCAGCCATGGCCCCACCACCAGGGTGCTGCATGCCCAGCAGCCCCGAGGCTGGAGAGGGGCTGGCACATCTCCTGCTGCCATGGGGGCTGTGGGGAGCCCGTGGAGTGTCCCCAAAATGGCCCCACGGGGCTGAGGCACCAGGAGCCCTTCCCCACCAGCTGCCCACTCGCACTCTGCCCACCCTCTCTTCCTCTCTCTGCTCCTCCTGCAGATTTTTGGATAACCCCAGGTGTTTCCTCTGCCACTGCCTCCCTTTTCCTGGTGGGGGGATCAACCCTGCTGCTCTGGCTGCCCTGGGAAGGGCAGAGCTGGGCACTCTCTCTGCTCCCCCCCAGCACCACCAGCAAAACCCCACGTGGGTTTCAGGGAGCGTGGGGTGGGGGGGGTGGCTCTTTCCTCCTTCCTCCTCCTCTTCCTCGTCTCTCCATCCTCCTCCTTCCTTGCTGTGTGTCTGCCCGCCCTCCCCTGTCCCCTGTCCCTGTCCCTGTCCCTGTCCCTGGCCGGGTGTCGCTATCTCACTCTCTGGTTCTTTGCAGATGGACGTAGTTTACACATTCCAGACCGGCGCCTCCTCTTTGCAGGGAGCCCTCAGGAGACAGCCTTCCATCGTGAGCCAGCACCACGATGTAAAAAATGTTTCTAGCCCAACCCATGTAGCTCTTTCCTCCGTCAATTCCACTCCCACCACTTCTGCTGTTGCTGCTGCTGCTGCATCTCCTCCTGCGGGCAGTGAGTGATGGTCTCTATTACAATGCATGACTTTAATAACCACAGAGAGCACCTGCACCCCCCTAACCCCGCCTGTTTCTCTCCCTCTCAGCCTTCACTCACACACTCAGTCCCAAACCTGAAGGATGGGGCGGGAAACCCTTCAAAACCCCAGTTTTTTATGCTGTTAACAAAGTTATGAACCTTTCTGGTCCTTTCCCCCCCCAGTTCCTTGTTGCTTCCTCCAGTTTTACCTCTTCTCCTCCTTTGCAGGGCTGGTGTTTGAGTCCACCCTCCTGAGGGCGGGCAAAAATTGGCAGTTCTTGCTCAAAAACCCCCGAGTTCACGAGCATTGCTGGGAGAAGGGCAAGGCTGAGCCCAAATCCTGCTGGTTCTTCCCACTGCCCGGCCCTGGGACACCCCAGGGATGGGCAGAGGAGTTGCTTGAAATCTCTTCTGGAGGCAGAGTGGCCGCTGGGACTGTCCCCAGGGCTGGCTGAGCCACGGCCAGGAGGGACAGGCAGGATTTACTCCTGCCCTGGGTGCTGCCTGTGGACAGCCCTGCCCGTGGCTCAGCTGGTGACACCTCGGGGCTGCTGTCCCCCTCTCTGTCCCCACATGGGGACTTGCATGGCCTGGGGACATCCCTGTGCTGCCCTGGGGCTCTGCTGGTGCCCAGGGCAGCCAGAGGATCCCCAGTGCCCACCTTGCTCTGCACACTCTGGATCCCAGGGTGTGCAGACACTGCTCTGCATGGAAATGGGCATGGAACACAATTCCTGCTAGATCCCAGTGGGAATTCTGGATCTGGGTTTTCAGACCCCAAAAAAGGCCCTGTCTGGTGCAGGGCTCTCTCTCTGTTCATCGTGGGCTGCTCTGCACATGCTGGATCCCAGGGTGTACAGACACTGCTCTGCATGGAAATGGGCATGGAACACAATTCCTGCTGGATCCCAGTGGGAATGCTGAGTCCTGGATCTGGCACTGGGTCTCCAGACCCTAAAAAAAGCCCTCTGTGTGTTCATCGTGGGCTGCTCTGCACATGCTGGATCCCAGGGTGTACAGACACTGCTCTGCATGGAAATGGGCATGGAACACAATTCCTGCTAGATCCCAGTGGGAATTCTGGATCTGGGTTTTCAGACCCCAAAAAAGGCCCATGGAAGCCGCATTCCTGCTGGATCCCAGTGGGAATGCTGGATCCTGGCTTTCCAGACCCCCCAAAAAAGGCCCTGTCTGATGTAGAACCCCTCTGTGTGTGGGGTGTTTGGGCTGGTGAGCACGTGGCCGTGGGTCTGTGCAGGCTGGGAGCAGGGAATGTGGCTCTGCTGGATAATTGGCATTTTTATTGCACAGTCACTTCTCCCTGTTCTCTGATTAGAGAAATACCCTCGGTGACTTTCTGGAGAGCTTTCAGCCTCTGCTGTTTATGCACTGTGGGGGAGGAGAGAGAATTTGGGATAATTTTGTTTTCTCTCTGTTTAGCTGACTCTGAGGCTGGCAGCTGATTGAGTTTAACCCCAGCAATTCTGGAGCAGCACAGCTGCCTCCTGCATCTGGGAAAACCTCCAGGATTTCCTGATGGAATAAAATCTGCCTAGAGGGGCTCAGAGCAGAGGGTGTGCAGGGGGGGGATGAGATCAAAATGCAGCTTTTTTGCAGTCTGTGGATCCATGTTTTCCCCATTTTGCAGCGAGGGAATAGAAAACTTGGATAGCTCGTGCAAACTTCACCAGGAGCTAACCCAGGTCTCCAAATTTCCTGCTGTTTTTCTTGCCTGGATTTCTCTTGTTTCCCTCTGCTGCTTCCATCTCTCCCAAAGCTCCTCTTCCCTCCACACAGATCCGTGGTGTCCCTCTCCCGTGGATGAGTTTTTCCAGGGCTGGATTTGCTGTGTCCCTCCTGGAGTTGCTGCAGAGCTCTCAGGAATTGATGGTCAGGTTTTGGCAGAGCTGAGCTGGGAATTCTGCCCTGGACTGAGGGGGCTGGGCAGAGCCAGGGATGTCACTCCCGCGGGGCTCTCACCCAGCACGTGGAGGTTTCACGGGAATCATCCCAAGCCTGGAGGTTGCATTTGAAGCTTCCAGGTGGAGAGGAGGCGGGAGAGGGAGGGAGGGAGGGGTTCCAGGCTGGAATTCAGCTCTGCTGGCGCTGCCTGCCTCATTCACAGCACATTTCCTCCCTGTTCCCTTCCTTTGAGAGGGAACAGCTGAATTCATCTCGCAGCAGGTGATGGAGAAAGAAGGGAGGAAAATCTGAGGGAAGCTGCAGCAGGAGCTCCTTGAGGGGGCTAAGCAGGAGGCTGAGCACAGATTCCCTGGAATTGCTCCAGGGAGCCTTCCCTGCTGCTCCTGGCAGTGCTGGACAAATCTCCAGGGCTCTGGAGGTGATTCCTTGGGAGAGAGCTCTGAGAGGGGGAGGCTTCTGTGGAGCTGCTCCCAAATCTGAGCTTGTAGATGCCACCTGCTCGTGGCTGTGACAGTCCCTGGGCTGTCCTTGGCCACCTCCTCGTGGCCCTGGCAGTCCCTGGGTCTCCTTGGCTTGGTTGGATTCGTTCTCCTTGGTTGAGCTGGTGTCTTAGGGCTCAGGATTTGCTGTTCCCAAGTCGTTGCTGGTGTGACAGATGATCAGTCTGAGGTGGCCCCGGTGGTGTCCCTTGTCCTGTGCGTTCACCTGAATTGATCCAAGGTCATCAGTGCACAAATCCACCTCTGAATTGGTTCCCAGCTCCTTCAAATTCCCATTTTTCCAGGCCAGTGGTGCTCCAGGCTCACGCCCTCGGGTGTGTGCCCTGTTCTCTGTGCAGGAGCTCCTGGGGCTGCTTCCAGCTGGGATGGGCCGAGCCCGTGCCAGGAAATTCCTCCTGATCCTGAGCCAGGTGCATCCCTGGTGAGAGGGGCAGGGAGAACTCCAGGGTTCCAGGCACAAGGAAGGAATTCCCTGCTCTGGTTTTGTGGGATCAGAGATCCTCAGGAGGGGTTTGGCTGTCCTGGGGGGTGAATTCCCACCTGGAGGGGTGCCACACCCAGGGACAGTAAATAAATAAAGAGACAGGTTAAATGAAGAGACAGTTTAAATAAAGAGTTTAAATAAAGGGACAGTTTAAATAAAGAGTTTAAATGAAGGGACACTGTGGCCCAGCCCATCTCACCAGGATCTGGGGTGAGCTCTCTGCTCCCCTCACTCCTGCAGCCCACAGAGCAGCCACAGCTCCTTTCCCTCACCACCCAGGGGATTTCTGCATCCTTCCCCCTCCCCTCCCTCAGCTGGGAGGATTCCCACAGGGAATCCCTTTTGTGGGATCTGTGGATCTCCTGTTTGTGCTGCAGTTTCAGCCATGGGGACACCACGGGAGCAGGCAGGGGATGTTCCTCAGGGGTGGGGAGCAGGTGGAGGCAGCTGAGGAGGAGCAAAGCTCCTTCCATGGGGCTGGAGACCGAGCACAACGACTGAAATGGCTCCAGGGAGCCTTCCCTGCTGCTTCCAGGGGTCTGGGAGAGGAGATGTGGTCCCACACGAGCTCTGCTCCACAGAGCTGAGGCTTCTGTTGCTTTCCTGGAACCCCAGCAGGGCTGGGATGTGACACTTGTCACCCACCTGAGCCCAAACCTGTGAGCTGGAAGGGTTTGAGGCTGGAATTCCAGAGGATCTGGAGGGAGCAGGGAATCCACCATCCAGGTGTGTTCCCAGAGCTCTCCCTCCCAGTGCAGTGGAGGTGGCAGAGCCGTGCCCTGGTGCTCTGGATCTCCTGCTTGAGCCTGGATTTCGGTGGAGCTGCCCCAGGGCTTTCCCAGGATCACGTGTGTGCGGCTGGAATTCCTTCAGAATATCCAGCAGAATCTGAACTGCTTGCCAGCTCCATCAAATTCCCATTTTTAACTGCCTTTGGAAACCACTGGGTCTCCTGCAGGCGCAGGGAAGGCTCCAGAGCTCCAGCAGTGTGGGGAACCCCACACACACCTGGACCTTCACCTGCATCCTCACAGCACCCACCTGGATCTCTGCTTCCAGGGGCTCCAAAAAAGCTGGAGACACCTTTGGCAAGCCCCATTCCTTTGCAGAGCTGTAGGAAGGACCCTCCCAACCCCACGCAGGGCTCCCACAGCAGAGTTTTTCCCCGCTGTTTGCCTAACCCACCTCTTTTTGGAGCCGTAGTTCCCCCACCTCGTCCGTTGTGTCGTGTCCGTCCACCCCGGGGCGTGCACACCCCCACACCAAATTAACGACTAATTAACGCCTCCTGGCTTCCATCCATCCAGACTGGTGATGTTGGGGTGGCGGTTTGGAGTCGTCCTGTGTCTTTTCTTGCAGCTTCTGAGGCTGGTGGGTTCCCAGCACCCCCGTAGTGCCTGACTCTGCCCCCGGTTCACCGTAGATGTCTCATTTTTGACCGAGCTGTCTGTTCAGTGGTGATTTTGTCGCTGTGGTCGTGGTGTTTTTTTTTTTTTTTCGTTCGATGGTTGTCTCTCATCATTTATTTCACTTTCTCCCTCGAGCCCTGCCCTCCGGCAGCACCACTGACCCCTTTGTTTTCTCTCCCCACGCCGCCCAGATCAAAGTGGTGAATGCGTTCCGTAGCTCCCTGTACGAAGGCCTCGAGAAACCCGAATCCAGAAGCTCCATCCATAACTTCATGACTCACCCAGAGTTCATCCTGGAGGAAGACGAGCCTCGGACACCATTCCTTGACGGCACCGAAGACGAGCCCGAGCCTGACGGACTCCAAAAGCGAGGTGGGGGCAGCCTGGGGGGCTCCACGGCCCTCAACAGGAACAACAACGCCGTGGACAGCGAGTTCAGCTTCCCCGAGCCCGGGAGCCCCTTCCACAGCCTGGAGACCTCTGTTTGACCTTAGAACTTGGAATTCCCCCTCCTCCTCCTCCTCCTCTTCCTCGTCCTCATCCACCTGGGCCCTGTGTGATCCCAGCACCAGTAACTGATCACACGCTGCGGTCAAACTGCTCATGCCTGTATCATCAGCTGGGGTTTTTTGGGGTTTTTTTTGGGGTGGGGGTTTAATGTGTTTTTTTCTTTTTGTTTTGTTTCATTTTGTTTTTATTTTTTACCGTTATTTAGCAGTGGGAAGCAGAGTACCACCACGCTGGGTGTTGGGAGAGAGGCTAAGCCAAAAAAAACCAAAAAAAAACCAAAAAAAAGAAACCAATTGTGCATCTCCATCCCTGATTTTCTGTGGTACTCACCCAGGGGAAGCTGCCAGGTTCTTTCCTCTCCAAGAGTTGGGCTCCAGGCACCTGGAGCCACGGGGTTTTCACTTTGGAAAAATGCATGTTCCAAGGAAATTCAAATTGTTGTAGTCTTACACGCCCTCAGCCCGAAGGCTGGGGGTGCACTTGTGACTTGAGTTGATTTTTTTTTTTTGTGGATTTTTTTTTTTCACACGTGGTTTTTAGGGGTTTTTTCTTCTCATGTTGGGGTTTGCTCTTTGCTTGTGGGATTTGCTGCCCTACCCAGTGGGAAGTGGGGAGGGGCAGTCACTGCTCCAGTGTGAAAATTAAGGAATAAAGTAAAAAATCCCAGCCAGGGGAAGGTGTTTACTCCAAGGTTCAGAGATCCAGGGATGCCCACCAGTCTTCCACCTTTGAAAAATGGTACCTGGGCTTCTTCCAGCTCCCCCTCTGTGCGCCCACATACGTTTTTCTCTCTCTTGTTTCCAGACTGGGAGATGAGAAATGAAGGTGGCTTGGCTCTAATTTTGCTGGAGGGGAGAAATTCTGATTTTCCTGCAAAGGTGGAGGTGAAACTGCCAGGGAAAAAGGTGGGGAGAGTCCCCCAGTTGTGAGGAATGCAGCTTCTTCCTGAGGAATTCTCTAGGAATTCTCCTCCTCTAGGAGAGGCCTCTCTGCTGCTCTTGGTCAGGGGGGAAACTTGGGGAGAGGATTTTTGCAGCTCTCCCAGCTCCTGCCCTCCAGAGCAGAGATTTTTGCCCTTTTTTTAGTGCTCATGTGGTCCAGCACGCCTGAGCCTCACAGTGATGTGGGAGGAGGCTCCAGCCATGCCCAAAAGCTGTGGGAATCTGAGTGGGGACCTCCTGAATCCTGGGAGGGATCAACCCAGCTGTCTCATGGTCCACTGGAAGGCTCCTGGATGATCCCAGACTTTCCTGGGGGTTTGGCCTGGGTGGCTGCAGGTCTCCCAGAGAAGGAGCTGCTGGAGGCTTGGCCTCACCTGGCTGCTTTTTTTTGGAGGTCATCTCCTCCCCTTGAGCCCTGCCTCACCTCCAGCCCTGGGAACAACCCAGGGAGAGTCCCTTTCCTTGGAACTGCCTCTGGATTGTCCCTCTGGCCCTCCCTGGAGCAGGAGCAGGGTTTGGGCTCCTCCTTGCCCTGGGGGAAGCTCTGCCACCTCCCTGCTCTCCTCCATCCCCTCTGGCTGAGAGCATGAGCTGGAAGCGAGGCCATTCCCAGCCCTGGAAGGGAAAACGCTGGGATTGCAAACCCTGAGGGAGGGTTTTTTGGTTTGTTTTTGGTTTTTTTTTTTTTTGAGGAAAGGCTGGCTCTGGCTGGGTTCTCCTCCCCTGTCCTGCCAGGAACGCACAGCGGAATCTCCCGTGCCTTGTCCGAGCACTGCCTGCAGCACCTCCTGCCACGCCAGGCCCAGATCTTTGCCAAGATTTAAGTGTTCCTTAAACCACAACGCAAACCAAGTGTCTCTGTGTCCTTCCCTGGGCTGGGAGGAAGAGGAGGAGGAGGAGGAGGGAAGGACGAGCTCCTTTTTTCCTGCTGAGGAAAGGTCTTTATCCCAAAAATCCCAAATATCCTGGATATCCTGAGTGTCCCACCCTGGTGCTGGCGAGCTGGGCTTTGTTCACTGCCAACAGCAAGAGGAAAATGCCACCACTGCCCGTCCCCAGTGCAAATTCAGTGTCCACCCCATGCCCTCCTTGCCTTCCTCCCCCCAAAAAATAACCCAGGGGAGTGAGGGGATCTTGGGTTAAACACCAGGAAAAACAACAACAAAAACAAACCCCAAACGAGGGGTGGTTGTGGGGTTTTGGTTCTGTGCTAAAGGTGACGTTGCTTAAAAAAAAACAAAAAAAAAAATCACTTTTTCTATTTTAAATACTTGCAAAAAAACCAAAAAAAAAAAAAAAAAGAGGATGATATGGTGTTCTTACAAGCTTACATAAATATTTATTAAATACTTTTTGGGGGGATGCACCAATATTTTTTTTTTCCTTTTGATATTTTTTTTAATACCTCAGACCTGTTGAAAAAAAAAGAAATAAAAAAATAAAAGAAAGACTCAAACCAACAACAACTTCAAGCCAACTTTGGAGGCTCTCAAAGTCACTCCCAGAATTCTGTGACTGGCAGGGTTTGCCACAAGGGTCTGGTCGTTCCTTTAGTTTGCTCTATTTTTGTCGTTCTAGTTTCCATTTTAGGAGTGGGGGGAGGGAGAAATAATGCTATATAAATATTATGCAAAAAAAAAAAAGAAAAAAAAAAGAAAAAGAAAAAAAATCTAGTTTTCTTTAGCTCAGAAACTGATATTTTTACGTCAGCCATATGTATTTTGTTTAAAGAAAAGAAAATAAATCTTGAGTCCCACCACTGCTTGAGGGCAGTTGCAAGGGACACTTTAATTAATTCCGTGGATTAATTAATTCAGCCATCGGATGCCAGTCAGCTTCCTTTTCTCTGAGCAGCCATCTTTCTACTAGCCGTGAGTTGGATGACACAAATGGGGTTTTTTTATATAAATATCTATAAATTATGTTGGTGTATGGCTGGTTGCTTCAAGTATAAATGTTTCTTGTGCAGATTTCCTGTAAAGTTCTGTTCTTTTGGGTTAAGTTTCAGTGATATCCTGGCAGCAGCTGACTCTTGGCTTAAGTTATTGAGGACATTACACAAAAAAAAAAAAATATAAATAGAGATTTGGGGGAGATTGGTGCTCCAAAAAAAAGGCATGGTCGGCCGCACGGACTTTTGGGGACTTTCTGCAACATGCCTTGACTAGGGGGAGATATAAATATCCATATAAATATATATTATTATGAATAATTTCTGGTTTTTTTGCTTTGTTTGAACTGCCACGAGTGCGCGCGGAGCAGGGGAGGGCCGGCGCAGGAAGCAAAGCCACCCCCTCCCTCCTCCTTGTGATCAACTTGCCTTGGAATGCTTTGTTATTAAAACACTCTGAACATCCTTCTGCATCCAGTTCTTGATCCCAGCAGGGCGGATTTGCGGATTTTCCGTGGATTTTCCGTGGATTTTCCGTGGAATTGGCGGATTGGTACCAAAGACACCGCGGCCTGTGTGCCGGCCAGGCAGCTCTTGAGGCTTTCTCCTGCTGAGGTTTTTATGATTTGTACAGGGAGAAGGGTGTGGGGAGGGGGTTTAATTTCAATTTTTTTTTTTTTCCCAAAGGTTTTCCGTGCAATAAAGTGAAAATTTCCAACCGATCTCAAGAAGGAAATAAACTAAACCGCGTTTGAGCATGGGCGGCCATTTTCCCCCCTCACGCCCGGGCCTGGAGGCCTCAGCTCCTCTCTGAGGGGAAAAAAAACCTGAGCTGGAAAAAAATCCCATCCTAAACGCCCGAGGGCATCTCCAGGTGCCACTGCCAGCTCCTGGCACCCTCTGGCACCACCCTGGGAAGGTTTTTGTCCCTCTGTGGGGGACATTGGCCTGCATGGCTTCTGCTCCGTCCCCAACCCCCCTGGGCCCAAAACGCCTCCTGCACCCCCAGATCTCCCCTCAGGGCACAGGGATGTGGGGAATCCTTTTCCTGCTTTTTTTTTCTTGCTCCTTTTCCTGCTCCTTTTCCACCCAAACAGGATTTTTTTTTCCCCCCCCAACACGGATTTTGGCGTTTCTTGCTCTCCAGCATCCCCACCTCACCCCGACTGCTCTGCCCGAATCTCCCAATTTTCATCCAGCAAAACCCATGGTTAAAACTGCCTTTAGTTTATTTCCTCCCCTTCAATAAATATATATATATATACAGTCTGAACTCAACATTTATGTGTGTGTATATATATTTATCCAACGCTCTCACAAAACAAAAAAACTTTCTTTTGAAGAGGGCACGTGGAGCCGAGTTTTTCTTTCTTTTTTTTTTTTTTTTTTTCAGTAACTCAGTATAATAAGCACTGGTATTTTTGTATAAAAAACGGGAGAGAGAAAAAAAGAAAAAAAAAAAAACCAAAATACAAAACAAAAGACTGAATATTATGTGGTATGCATGACATTAAAAAACAAAACAATGGTGGTTTCAAAGCAATATGTACCCTGGTGTGTTTGCCATATCCTAGAGTCCAGCTTAAAGTGCACCTGATCTGTATTGCATTTTGATATTAATCTCTATGTACAATGTTTTGCATGTAATTTATATGGAGCTTGGGAGAAAAAAAAAAAAAAAAAAAGTAATCTGAATGAATTGTCCGTTGGCTTCTTCTGAGAAAACAAACTCCAAGCAGAGCTAAAACTCCAAAGTGGAAGCAGCAGAGTGGTTGAAGGGTGGGAAAAAGGGTGCAGTAAAAAGAAAGAAATGAAGAGGGAGAAGGGGAACGGTTTGGAATTAATAAAGTTTTTGGCTCTGAGCAGAAACGATGCATCCAGAGAATAAAATGTGTGACTGTGCCCTGCTCTGTGTGTCCGGCAGCTCCGGGGATTCTGTCCCAAACCCTGCCCAGGAATGGCTGCAGTGGGGTGGAAACAGGGATCCAACACAGCCCAAACTCCACTCAGAGTGACGTTTCTGTTATTTAATTGATTCTTCTTCCACCACCTGCAAGCAAAGTGCCCAAATTGCTGCCAAACGCCACCAAAAAGGAGCAGCTGGGCCCTGAGGGGCTGCCCTGGGTAATAATTTATATAGACCCCATGTGGGTTACTCACATTCTCTCAACACAGCCATAATTCTCTCTCTCAGGAGAGGAGATTTTTGTCCTGGGGAAGGCAGTGAGAAGCTTTTGGCTGTTGAGCACAAACGATGCATCAGAGAATAAAATGTGTGACTGTGCCCTGCTCCGTGAGTCCAGCAGCTCTGGGGATTCCGTCCCAAACCCTGCCCAGGAATGGCTGCAGTGGGGTGGAAACAGGGATCCAACACAGCCCAAACTCCCCTCAGTGTGGGGTTTCTGTTATTGAGTCTTCTTCCACCAAGCAAAGTGCCCAAATTGCTGCCAAACGCCACCAAAAAGGAGCAGCTGGGCCCTGAGGGGCTGCCCTGGGTTAGGTAATAAACCAGTGGATGGAGGTGGAGAAACACGGCCATGTTCGCTTCATAGCGAAAAGCTCTGTCCCCTTTTTGAGGCTTTTTGAAGGACTTTTGAAACGCGGGGAAGCCAAAAACCACAACAAAATCGACCCCGGCTCCGCCTCAGACGCTCGCCCGCCTTCTCACTTCGTGTGAGGCGGGTGAAGCCACTTCCGGCCGCCGTCTTTGCAGGGGGCGCCATCTTTGAGCCGGGCACCGGGACGCAGCGGCGACCCCGGCGGATCGCGGTAGGGTAGAGAAACACGGCCCTGTTCGCATCATAAGGAAAAGATTTTTCCTATTTTTGAAGCTTTTTGAAGGGCGGGGAAGCCAAAACACAGCAAAATCCACCCCTATCCTCCTCAGGAACCAGCCCGCCCTCTCCCTTCCTCTCGGGAGGTGAAGCCATTTCCGGCCGCCATCTTTGAGCCGGGCACCGGGACATGGGCGTCTGTGGCCCCGGCCGATCGCGGCAGAACGGAGAAACACAATACTGTTCTCTTCAGAAAGAAAATCTTTGTCTTCTTTTTGAGGCTTTTTGAAACGCAGGAAAGCCATAAAACAGCAAAATCGGCCCCTCTCCTCCTCAGGCTCCAGCCTGCCCTCTCCTGTCGGGAGGGTGAAGCCACTTCCGGCCGCCATCTTTGAGCCGGGCATCGGGACCCAGTGGCAGTAGATCGCGGTAGGATGGAGAAACGCGGCCCAGTTCGCTTCACAGGGAAAGGCTTTGTCCCTTTTCGAGGCGCGGGGAAATCAAAACCAGGCAAAATCCACCCCCGCTCCGCCTCATCCCCCCCCTCCCTTCCTGTCGGGCGGGTGAAGCCACTTCCGGCCGCCATCTTGGCAGCGGGCGCGCTGAGGCTGCGCGCGCGCCGGGCGCCATCTTTGAGCCGGGCACCGGGGACACGGCGGCGGCGGCGGCCCCGGCGGAGCGCGGCGACAGCGACACGGCGGCCCCCGGGGGCTCGGTAAAACTCCCTGACCGACCGTAAATAGAGCGCTTCGGAGCCCCGCGGCGGCTGGTGGGAGATGAGGGGGGCACGGGCGGGGGGTGGTGCTGGGCCAGCCCCGGCTCCTCCGCAAGGCCGCGCGTCCCCCGCGCTGTCCCCACAGCGGGAGGGGGACGCTGAGGGGCGAGGCGGCGTTAGCGGGGAATAAAACCGGGATGAAGTGGGAATAAAGCCGGGATGAAGTGGGAATAGAGCCGGGGCGAGGTGGGTTTGTTCCCCCGGGGCTTTGGGGAGGGGGAGCTGCGTGCCCGGGGTAGGCCCGAGGCCTTTTCAGCGCTCGTCCCCTCAAGAAATCCGCGATCGCAGCACAAAACCCCAGATTTTCTAAATCTCCTCCTTTTCAGGTCAAACCTCCTTTTTTTTTGTTTTTCCTGTTGTAGCAACGCGTCTGAGGGGCATTTCTAACGTAGTCACCTCATTCCTGCTCATTCCCTAAAGGAACTTCAGGAGCTGAGTAACTCTGGATGCAGCCGGGCTCAATTCCTCCCGGAGCTTGTTAAAAACAGCGCGATTCCCTGAATTTTTGGGGTATTTTCCTTGTTTTTTAAGGTTATTTCTCTCGGAGGTTGTCAAAAACAACGCCATTCCCTGAATTTTTGGGGTATTTTCCTTGTTTTTTAAGGTTATTCCTCCCGGAGGTTGTTAAAAACAACACGATTCCCTGAATTTTTTGGGTCTTTTTCCGTGTTTTTTAAAGTTATTTCTCTCGGAGGTTGTTAAAAACAACGCGATTCCCTAAATTTTTGGGGTTTTTTCCTTGTTTTTTTAAAAATTATTCCTTCAGGAGCTTGTTAAAAACAACGCGAATCCGTGAATTTTTTGGGTTTTTTTCTTATTTTTTAAAGGCTTTTGCTTTCTGATGTCGATTTTTGTTGTGGAAACCTCCAAAAGAGAATTTGTTGTTGTTGTTGTTGAAGGGATCAGAGCCTCCAGGTTATTCTCAGAATTGCCCTCAGGGTCGCATTTCCTAAATAAAACCCGGCTCAGAAATATAAAAAATATTAAAAATATGAATAAATAAAAGGGAATTTCCTGGGGAATAAAGGATTTGGGGTTGAATTCGGGCAGAGCTGTAGCAGAGCAGGAGTTTTTCAGGTAAAACTTCCTGGTGGTGTCATTTTGACATTTTTCCAAGGTGAAATCCAGGGAAAATCGAATTTGTTTTTAAAGATTTAATAAAAGATTCCCATGAGGGGGAGGAATTGTCACAGGAAATCGCTGCCAGGCCTTGGGGTTGAGCTCAGAAATACAGGAAAAAAAATGAAAATAAATTTTCTTTAATTATTCCTGTTTTATTCAAGAGTGGCTGGAGCAGCTTCCCTTGGTTTGGGGTTGATTCCTGAGGAGGAAAAGCTGGAGGAGAGAGAAAAAATGGCCCAAAAATGGCTAAAAAAGGGGTTAAAATGTGGAATTCCTGCTGCTTTTCCTTCCTTGTCACCTGGTAAACAGGAGGTGAATCATCAGAGGAATTTAAGGCACAAATGAAGCAGCAGGAGAGGAAATTTGGGGGTTTGAAATCCAAGAATTCCTCGCAGGGAGTGCAGGAAAACTTCTTTATTTTCCCTTTAAGAAGAAAAAAGGCTGTGTTGGTTTTTTGATCTGATTTTTGCTGACCCTCAGCTGCTGCATTTTTAATTTCTTTGGTTTTTTTAATAAATAATTGTTTTAAAACAGTATTTTTCTACCAAAACTTCAATGAATTTCCTGAAAATTTTCATGATTTCTGGACAGGAAAGTGTTTAAAATTCTCATTAACTTGAATTCATTCCAGACCTGCTGAGTGCACCAGAGTTACTCATTGTTATTCAGATTTTTTTGTTGTTTGCCACCTTGACACCAGTTTAAAATTCGACAAAAAAAAAGGTTTTTAATGAACTTTTTTAATAATTAAATCACCTTGATGGAGTTTAGACCTTGGAGGGGTTTTTGGGGGGAGGTTTGGGTTGATTATTTTTCTGTTGTTGTTTATTTTCAAGGTTTTATTCCAATTCTTTAAAGATTCAGACTCTGAACTGAAAGATGAAAAAATTGTGGAAGGCAAAAAACGGATTTAATTTCTAAAAGAATTCAATCTGAAGGGATTTTCTTTCCCCCCAGGGTGGTGGATGTAGAAATGTTGCAATTTTTAGGTGTGGAAAATACCTGAGGAAAAGGAAATTCCACCTTCCAGCCTGGGAATTCCTCCTGCTCTGGGTTGGAATTCCTGATTTTCTCACCCCTCACTCCCAGGATTTCAGTGTTTGCTTCAGCAAAGCGAAGAATTCAGGCTTGAAATTTGATTTTTAACTCCCAAGAGCACTGGGGAAAACGCCTGGGAAAACTTGCAACTTCCACCAGAAGGAGCTCCAGGAGTTTTTAGGAGTAGAATCCCTGGAAAAAAATCTGATTTTGAAGCTCCAAAAGTGAATTTAACCCCGTGGAGATGGAAGAACAGGAGGGAACCCTGCACTTAAATCCTGTTTTATTCCCTTTGTCAAGCAGCCAAAAAAAAAGGAAAAAAACCAATTAACATAAGAACCCAACTTTTCCTCTCTTTATTTTAGATTTGGGAAAATTCCCTGGCCAAAAAAAAATAATATCCTGGGAAAATTCACTAGTGTTTGTGTGAGTAAAAGGTTCCAACTGTTTCTTCTTACGCTGTAAAAAACAATTTCTTTGGGTTTTGTCCTCCCCAAGGAGTCAGAAATCCTTTGCACAGAAATGTCAGCGTGGTAAAATCGATTTTTCTTTGGATTTGAGCTGGTTTGGTTGCGAGGTTGTGTGGAAAATAATCCTAAAAATCAGATTTTTAGAAGAATATCCAAAATTAAAGTGTGATTCACGTGGAAAATAAACGGAATCAATTAATTTTTGGTGGCCCCAAAACCCCCAATCAGCTGCTGGATTGGAGCTAACGATGGATCAATGATGAGGGAGCAGCACAAAATTGGAATATTTCCTAAAAACCCAATTAATTCCCCAAATTCCCAACCAATTCCTGCTTTGCCTTGCCTGAGGGATGGATGAGTTTGTCCCTGAGCTGTCCCCAAATCCCCCTCATCCCAAACCCCCCAAAAATCTCATTTCCCCCCAGTGAGAGCTCGATGTGCCAAAATTCCTGATTTTTTTGCTGCTTTTCTCCTTGTGCTGCCGTCCCTGCCTCTTTTGGGGTGTGTGTGAACACCTTGGGTTTATACACACAAACCTGGGGGGTTTTTTTCTTGCTGTACAGGTCATAAAGACGGGGGAAGGTTTTTGTCTTTTCTTAATAGGTGAAGAAATCTCAGAAGACCCGAAATTGCAACTTACTGAATTAAATAATTAACAAAAAAAATTAAAAAAAAAAAAAATTAGCAATTTCCCCAGCTGTGGAAGATGGAGCCTCATTTTTGCAGCCACTTTGAATCCTGAGTTCATCTTTAAAAAAAAAAGGCGCTGGGGCTTTTTTTTTAAATTTTTTGTTGGTTTTTTTTATGTTTTTTCTTTTTTTTTATTGGAAGAGCTAAAATATCCCTGGCTGTCTCCAGTGTGCCAGATTTGCAATGGACTCAATTCCTCCATTAGTTGTCAGATTGTTCTGAGAGCACCTCAGAGTTTGGAATTGTTGGCTGAGAGGTTCCCTTGGAATTGTCAGGAGGAAAAAAAAAAAAAAACAAAACAAAAAAAAAAAAGGCAAAATTCAAAAATTCTTTCTGCCCCTTTGTTATTCATTCACGGACTCCTTCGGCCTACAGGAGAGGGAACTGCATGGCTGGGAAGATCAAAGCCTGTGCTCACCGTGGCCAGGTGGGTGAGCTCCTGAGTGCCCTGGGGTGGGGGGAAATCGGGGGAAAATCCCCCTGGGATTGGGGGAAAATCAGGGGAAAAATGCCCTGGGATTGGGGGAAAAATCCTCTGGGACTGGGGAAAAATCAGGGAAAAAATCCTCTGGGATTGGGGGAAAAATCCCCTGGGATTGGGGGAAAAATCCCCTGGGATTGGGGAAAAATCAGGGAAACAATCCTCTGGGATTGGGTTTAAAAATCCATTTGGATTAGGGGAAAAATCAGGGAAAAATCATCTGGGATTGGGGGAAAAATCCTCTGGGACTGGGGGAAAAATCAGGGGGAAAATGCCCTGGGATTGGGAGGAAAAAATCCACTAGGATTGGGAGAAAATTGGGGGGAAAAATGCCCTGGGATTGAGGGAAAAAATGCCCTGGGATTGGAAGAAAATTGGGGGAAAAAATGCCTTGGGATTGGGGGAAAATTGGGGGGGAAATGCTCTTCAATTGGGGGGGAAAATCATGGAAAAAATCCACTGGGATTGGGAGAAAATTGGGGGAAAAAATGCCCTGGGATTGGAGGAAAAAATCAGAGAAAAAATCCACTGGGATTGGGGGAAAATCGGGGCAGAAATCCCCTATGACTGGGGGAAAAATCCTCGGGAATGGGATCGGGGAAAAAAATCCCCCTGGAATGAGGGGAGAAAATCCCCTGGGACTGGGGGAAAATGCCCTGGGATTGGAGGAAATTGGGGGAAAATCGGGGGAGAAATCCCCTATGACTGGGAGAAAAATCAGGGGAAAAAATGCTCTTCAATTGGGGGGAAAAATCAGGGAAAAAAATCCACTGGGATTGGGAGAAAATTGGGGGAAAAAATGCCCTGGGATTGGAGGAAAAAATCAGAGAAAAAATCCACTGGGATTGGGGGAAAAAATAGGGGAAAAGAATCCCCTGGGATTGGGGGAAAATCGGGGGAGAAATCCCCTATGACTGGGGGAAAAATCAGGGGAAAAAATGCTCTTCAATTGGGGGAAAAAATCAGGGAAAAAAATCCTCGGGGAATGGGATCAGGGACAAAAATCCCCCTGGAATTAGGGGAGAAAATCCCCTGGGACTGGGGGAAAATGCCCTGGGATTGGAGGAAAACTGGGGGAAAATCCTCTGGAATTGGGGAGAAATCCCCCCTGGGATTGGGGAAAAAAATCCCCTGGATGTGGGGAAAAAAAATCCCCCTGGGATTGGGGGGAAAATCCCCTGGGATCTGGGAATGGGATGGGAGAAAAATCCCTAGGGACTGGGGAATGGGATCAGGGGAAAATCCGTTTGGGATCAGGGAAAAAATCCCTTAGGATTTGGAGAAAAATCCCCTTGGATTTGGGAAAAAAAATCCCCTGGGATTGGTATTAATAGTGTAATATGAAATAATAGATGGTAATAATGATATTAAAGTATTGATTTGCTTTATTATTAAAGCATTCCTGTATTATTGATAACTCCAAATTGCACCTGGTTTTTGAAGGAGTGCCTCTCTTTTGGGTCACCCCCTAATTTTTTGGGTCACCCCCTAATTTGTCTCTAAGTCAAGTCCCAGAACTGTTACTAAGGTCACAGATTAGGTTTTATTCTGACAAAATCCCTGCAGTTTTGCCCAAATCTCACTAAAAATTTGTTTCAAAAACGAAATTTTCAACAAATTGAGCTTCATCTTTATGCCCAGCTGATTTCCACTCGCTCCCTCCTCCCAAAACCAAATCAATGAATAGGAAACAACTCTAAAACCCCCAAATTTTACTCCGCAGGGTTACTTTTAAAAAGCAGCTGTCAGAGCTAAGGCAGGAGAAGCCTTTAGAAGCCAATTGCTGGCCAGGCTGGAGGAGCAGAGCCTGAGCAGAGAGCGAGGAGCCAGCCCAGCATGTCCAGCCAGGGGGACGACTGCTACTTCTACTTCTACTCCACCTGCAACAAGGTGAGAGCAGCCCGGGCTCACTGCTGCTGGGCTCTGGGCAGGGCCAGGAGGAAAGCATTTGTCCATTGGTTCATTATTGATTATTGGTTCACTGTTCAGCTCCAGTTCTGAAATCTGGGGTTTGTTCTCTGTCTGACTCATTTGTTTGTTAGTTTGTGTGCCTTTCCCATCCCATTTTATCCCATTTGTTTTAACCCATATCCTTTTCCCATCCCATTTTTAACCCATATCCTTTTCCCATCCCCTTTTTAACCCATATCCTTTTCCCGTCGGGGTCGTGGGTTGTGGGTCGGGGTGGGGGGGGTTTAGGTGGAGTTTGGTGGGGTTTAGGTGGAGTTTGGGGGGGTTTAGGTGGAGTTTGGGGGGGTTGAGAGGGTTTTAAGTGGAGTTGAAAGAGTTAAAAATGGAATTTTAAAGAGTAAAAATGGAGTTTTAAGTGGAGTTGAGATGAAGCTAAAAGTGGAGTTTTGAATGTTTGGAAATGTCCCTTCAGGCATTGTGGAAATCCAGGTTCAAGGAATTCAGGAATCTTTAATCCCTCTCCATGGCTTTCAAAAATCAAAAGTGTGGATTTTCCCTTGGAGGCTGAAAAAAGCTGCCAGTTTCCTCTTTTCCTTTAATCCCTTTATGGGTTTGGAATCCAGAACTGAATCCAGCAGTGTTTTGTTCTCAAATTTTCAACTTCAGGCTCAAAATCTGGGCTATTTTTCCTTTGCAGCCACTCTCCCAAGCCCCCCTGAGGCTGCAGAGGACGAGGTGAAGATGGTGCAGCTGCAGCAGAACAAACTCTCCGTTCAGTCCAACCCCTCCCCGCAGCTCAGGGGGGTGATGAAGGTGGAAAACTCTGAGAATGTGCCCAGTCCCACCCATCCCCCAGTGGTCATCAACGCTGCAGATGATGATGAAGATGATGATGGTGAGAAATCTTGAGTTTATTTCAAATATTTCTGCTTTAAATCGAGAGGGAAATCACAAAATTGGGGGTTTAAGCTGCAGGGAAAAGTGATAATTTTTTTGTTGCTGTTGAAATATTAAACCACCTAAAAATAAAACATTTTTACTAAATCCCTACTGCATAAATAATTTCATTTTGGGTTTGATTTTCCCTTCCAGACCAGCTTTCTGAAGAAGGAGAAGAAACCAAAACCCCAGTCCAGCCCCCACCCACAGAAACCCACAATGGCCTGAGGGTGATTTCCACCAGGAAATCCAATCCCAGTGCAAAGCAAGGTATTCCAAGGGCTGCAGGGGGACAATTCCACCTTCAACAGCAAAATATTCCTGAAGGAAAACAGAGCCCAGGGGTGCTGAGTGGAATCCAGGAGTTCATTCCCACCTAAGCAGGGAAAAGCCTCCTGGTTTGGATTTGTGGGACAAAATGGAACAAAAGTGGAGTTTGGTGGGGCTTAGGTGGAGTTTGGGGGAGGTTGAGAGAGGTTTAAGTGGAGTTGAAAGAGTTAAAAATGGAATTTTAAAGAGTAAAAATGGAGTTTTAAGTGGAGTTGAAATGGAGTTGAGATGAAGCTCAAAGTGGAGTTTTGAATGTTTGGAAATGTCCCTTCAGGCATTGTGGAAATCCAGGTTCAAGGAATTCAGGAATCTTTAATCCCTCTCCATGGCTTTCAAAAATCAAAAGTGTGGATTTTCCCTTGGAGGCTGAAAAAAGCTGCCAGTTTTCCAAAATCCCACCTGTTCTGGGGCTTTTTTACTCCTGGGGAGAGTTGGGAGGGTTTATTCCCAATATTCTGGGAAGGATTCACCCCAATTTCCTGAATATTCTGTGCTTCCAGATGACAACTTAAATTTTGGAATAAAAACCTTGGAAGAGATCAAACTGAAGAAACTCAAGGAAAAAGCCAAAAAACAAGGTGGTGAGTTAATATCCCTAAAATCCCTCCTTATCTTCCTCCTTCTGTTCATTCTTGACTTTAATCCTGATTTTCCTTGGATAATTTGCAAGGAAATTTTCAAAGGAATTAATTTTCTTTGCAAATTGGGAGATCCTGCAAGGACAAATTCACTTTTTTTTTTTTTTAGAGGGGCTACACTGGCATGTGGCAGCTGGTTTTCCTGCCTGGAATTCCAATGAAAATTCCTAAATATCCTGATTTTTCCTTGTTTTTCCATGCAGAAGGTCCTTCAGGAGTGGCTGTGGATCCTCTCCAAGCCCGGAGCATTCCTGTGCCAGAGAAGGAAAATGTCAGGACAGTGCTGAGAACTGTGACCCTTTCCTCCAAGGAAGGTAATCCCAAATCCCAAAATTCCCATCCCACACCCCCTAAATCTAATCACTGATCATTAGGATAATTATCCTAATAATCCTGAGATGCACTGCTGCCTTTTCTGGTTTGAGTTTTAAAGGTTGTGTTGGAAAAGTTGGGAATTTTTGTAGCTGCTGGCTTTGGTTTGGATTAAAACCAGTTTTATCATTAAAACCAATTTCCCTCCCAGTCCTTCTGTAATTCCCGTGCTTTGGCAGCCAGAAAATGGCATTTTTTTGGGATAAGGGGATTTTTTGATGCACTGAAAGGATTGTTCTTTATTTTAGGGGAGGACCCTGTGATCCAACTGAATCTTCCTGACAGACTGGGGAAAAGGAAAACCGTCATGGGTGAGAGCTTTTTGTGAAATATTTACATCAAAACCAGCAAATTCTCTCAGCAACAAAAAACCAAAACCATTCCAGATTCATCTGGGAGGATCCAGGTTCCTGCAGAGGAATATTCTGAAATAATTTCTCATTTTGTGTCTTTTTGAAGGTGGAAAAACTTTCCTTCCCCTGAGGAGGAACGTTGCTGACAGGCTGGGGAGGAAGGCAGAGCTGCAGGAAAACTCTGAAAAGGCCCCAAAAAGAGGCACAGGTACCAAAAGCACCTGGATTTCCCAGCTGGAATTTGTGTCCAGCTGTTCTGGTGGGATTTTCTGGCCAGTTTTTCCCTTTGGATTTTCTGCTTGGGATTCTCTGTCCAGCTTTTCTGCTTGGGCTTTTCCCTTTGGGATTTTCTGTCCAAGCTTTTCCCTTTGGGATTTTCTGTCCAAGCTTTTCCCTTTGGGATTTTCTGTTCCTCCTTTCTTCTCCTGCTTATTTTTGGTTGAGGGGTCAAGGTCACTCTGAGTCCCACTGAGGTGCTCTCCTGTCTCATTCCCCACCCAAAATTGGGATTTTTGCCACTTTTTTCAACTTTTTCTCTTGTTTTTTTTTTAGTTCAAGTCCTGAAGTCCCTGAAGGAGAGGCTGGGGCTGCCCTCTGAGCAGAGCAGCACTGAGACAGGTAAAAATTGCATTTGAAATATTCCTTCTTTTTTTTTTGTTTTGTTTTTATTTTTTTTCTTCCCAAGAACTCCCATGCAGCCTTAAATTGTTAATTTTAAAGGAAAACTGGCTCTGATTTTCCAAACCCAGGTGGTTTAAAGGAGGGGGAGGAATTTATTGTTCAGGGAATTGGGATTGTTCAGCCTGAAGAGGAGGAATTTTGGGGTGATCTCGTTGTGGCCTGAAGGAAAGATGGAAAGGGAATATTCCCAAGGAATGGAGGCACAGGATGAGGGGAATGGCTGCAGACTGATGGGGTTGGATGGGATTTTGGGAATGAATCCTTCCCTGGGAGGGTGGGGAGGGTCTGGGATTGAATTCCCAGAGGAGCTGTGGCTGCTCCATCCCTGGGAGTGTCCCAGGCCAGCTTGGAGAGTGGATAAAAAGGATAAAATGGGTAAAACAGGTAAAATGGCAGCATGGGATGGTGGGAGGTGTCCCTGCCCATGGCACTGGATGATCCCTCCCATCCCAACCCATTCCAGGATTCCCTGGGCTGCTTTGTATGGGATATTGGGAATAAATCCCTCCCTGGAATTCCCAGGGAATCCGTGGCTGCCCTTGGAGCACCCTGGGACCACAGGGTGGGAATGGGATGATCCTTAGGATCTTCCAACCCAAACCATTCCAGGATTCCATAAAAAAATCCCAATTTCAGGACTCCAGACTCATTCCCAGAGAATCTGTGGCTGCCCCATCCCTGGAGTGTCCCAGGCTGGGTTGGAGCAGCCTGGCACAGGGAAAAGTGTCCCTGGATGATCCTCAAAGTCCTCCCAACCCAAGGAGCACTGAGAGCCCTCAATCCCAAATTCCCTCAGTGCTGGGAGCAGTTCTGGAGGCTTTTCCCCCTCCTGGATCTCTTTCATTCCTGGGTTGGATTTTTCAGACAAAGCTGCCAAACCCATCGAGGAGATCCGGGTGAAAACCCTTGAGGAAATCCGCCTGGAGAGAGCCAACCAGAGGAGAGGAGAACCCCCAGCCAAAATCCCAGGAGAAGGAAGGAAAACTGAAGATCCAAATTCAGGAGCAAAACCCTCCCCTGCTGCCCGCAGCAAATCCCTGACTGGAGCCCTGGTGGAAAAAAACCACAAGAGGCTGGGAGAGGAGAAGGAAAAACCCGAGGAATTCAGCAGCAGGGCCAAAAGTGAGGCAGATCCCAGGAAACAGAACATTCCTGCTCCAGCTGGGGCAGGCAGGGTGCAGCTGGCAGAGGCTGGAAGAGCCAAAGGAGCTGGAGAAGTTCGGATCAAAACCCTGGAGGAGATCAAGAGGGAGAAGGCGCTGAGGCTGCAGCAGAGCGGGGAGAACCTTCCTGCTGCTGCTGCCCCGCCTGAGGCTGCCCTGAGGGGCAGGAAACTGCTCAGGGTCACCAAGCTGCTGGGTGAGAGGGATTCCTGGGGTTGGGATTGTCCTCAGGGGTTGGGGTTGGCCCTGGGGGTCGGGATGGGCCCTGGGATTGGGATTGGGATTGGCCCTGGGGGTTGGGATTGCCCTGAGGTTGGGGTTGGGATTGTCCTCAGGGGTTGGGATTGGCCCTAGGGGTTGGGATTGGCTTTGGGATTTGGGGTTGGGATTGGCCCTGGGATTTGGGATTGGGATTGTCCTCAGGGGTTGGGGTTGGGATTGGCCCTGGGGGTTGGGATTGTCCTCGGTGGTTGGGATTGTCCCTGGGAATTCTGCTTCTCCTTGAGCATTCTGCTTTCCACCTGGGGTTGGGATTGGCCCTGGGGGTTGGGATTGGGATTGTCCGTGGGAGTTCTGCTTCTCCTTCAGAATGCTTTCCACCTGGGAATTCTGATTGTTCTTGGAAATTCTGATTCTCCTGGGAATCGGGATTGTCCTTGGGGATTGGGATTGTCTGTGGGGGTTGGGATTGTCCTTGGGAATTCTGCTTTGCACCTGGGAATTCTGATTGTTCTTGAGAGTTCTGATTGTCTTTGGGAATTGTGCTTCCCCCTGGGAGTTGTGCTCCTCCTTGGAAATTCTGCTTTCCCCTGGGAATTGTGATGCAATTTCCCTCTTTTTTTTCTGCCCTGGATTTGTGTGCTGGAATCTTCCCAGTGCTGGAATCCATCCCATTCCCCTCTGGAATATTGTTTGGGAAGGATTTATCAATTTCTGAGCATTAACAATAATAATAATAATAATAATACTCCATGGTGGGACTGAAGGAGAGAGAAAATCCTGCAGGAATTGCTTCCTGTTAATACAAATAGGGAAATAACCCCCCCAAGAAAACAAAAAACCAATTTTTGGATGTTTTTCTTGGTTTAAAGCACCTGGAAGAGAAGAAAAAATGATCGTGGAGCTGAACAAACCTTCCCCCAAAAATGGCTCTGCCCCTGCTGAGGTGAGGCTGAACACGTTTGTAACAAAACATTTCACGTTTCTGATCAGTCCCTCCCATTTCTGATCAGTCCCTGACACTTCCATAGGTTTTTATCCATAAATTTTTCCCCTAAGAACCCTCTTGGTGTGTTTTTCCCCTGTCAGAATTCAGGGAATTCTGGAATTCAGGTGAAGAGCCTGGAGGAAATCATGTGGGAGAAACGGCAGCAGAAACAACGGCAGGAGGAGAAACTGCAGCAGGGAGCTGGGGCAATTCCAGCTGAAAACCAGGAAAAAATCCAGGATAAAAACCAGGAAAAAACACCAGGATCAGGGAGCCCCGAGGCTGCTGTGGGGCCAGCCCAGCTGGGCAGGAGGAGAGGGGGAAAACCCGCCGAGGATGGAGTGGGAACCCCAGAGAAGGAGCCAGGGAAAAAGGGAGCTCAGCTGCCCGAGAGGAGAGGCAGAGGTGGGGCTGGGGTGTGGGAAGGGGCTGGGTGGGGCTGGGGGTTCCTGGGAATGTTCTGGGTGGGGTTGGGAATGTTCTGGGTGGGGTTGGGGTTTAGGGGAATGGTTTGTGGGAATGGTCTGGGGTTGGGGTTTGTGGGAATGGTCTGGGACTTAGGGTTCCTGGGAGTGTTCTGGGGTTTGGATTTGTGGGGATGTTCTGGGGTTGGGGTTTAGGGGATGGTCTGGGGTTGGGAATGATCTGTGTGGGGTTGGGTGGGGTTTAGGGAATGGTCTTTGTGGGAATGCTCTGGGGCTGGGGTTTAGGGAATGGTCTGTGTGATGTTGGGGTTTAGGGAATGGTCTGTGTGGGGTTGGGAATGTTTTGTGTTCTCTGTGGGTTTTGTGGGAATGTTCTTTGTGGGGTTGGGGTTTAGGGGAATGGTCTGTGTGGGGTTTGTGGGAATGGGCTGGCGCTGGGAGTTCCTAGGAATGTTCTGGGGTTTGGATTTGTGGGAATGTTCTGAGGTTGGGGTTTAGGAGAATGCTCTGGGACTGGGGTTTGTGGGAGTGTTCTGTGTGGGGTTTGTGGGAATATTCTGGGGTCGGGGTTTATGGGAATGTTCCTTTTGGGATTGGGGTTTGTGGGAATATTCTGGGGTCGGGGTTTATGGGAATGCTCATTTTGGGATTGGGGTTTGTGGGAATTCTCAGTGTGGGGTTGGGATTTATGGGAATGTTCCATGTGGGGTTGGGATTTTGGGAGCTCAGCTGCCCGAGAGGAGAGGCTTCATAAAGAGGTGGGGACTTGATAAAGGGGTTTGATTGGTAAAGGGGTTTGATTGATAAAGGGGTTTGATTGATAAAGGAAGGGATTTGATTGTGGAAGGGATTTGATTGCTGAAGGAAGGGGTTTGATGGATAAATTTTCCCTCCTTTCCCTCCATCCCAGCCAAATCCAAGGTGTGCCTGAAGCCTCTGGATGCCAAAGCCCCTCCCAAGCAGCCCCTGAAGAGGAAGGGCCCCGAGGGCGACGCCCCTGCTGTGGTGGCAGTGAAGCCACTCAGTGCCACCAGCGGGGACACCCAGGAGCCCCCAGCCAAGGTGAGGCCCCAAATCCCCCCAAATTCCCAAAATAATCCTGGAAAACTGAAATTTTCTCCATCTGTCCCAGCCCTTTTCACCCCAGAACTCTCAGGGGCAGCACATTCCTGCTTTGGAGGCATCTCCAGAATTCCCTGCTGGGATTTGGGAATATTTTGTCCTTTCCAAGGCAAAAATTCCTTAAAAAAAACCCAAATTCCTCATTTCTGGAATGCTCTTCTTCAGGTGAAACACAAAAGGAAGAATCTCCTAAAATCTGGGATTTTTTAGATCCTAAAAATTCTCAGGTTCTCCAGAATTCCCTGCTGGGATTCGGGAATATTTTGTCCTTTCCAAGGCAGAAATTCCTTTTAAAAAAAACCCTGAATTCCTCATTTCTGGAATGTCCTGCTTCAGGTGAAGCAGAAGAGGAAAAATTTGGGATATTTTAGATCCTAAAACTTGTTCTGCTCCTCATTGTCAGGTTGTTCCCCCTTCTCCAGAGGACAGCCCGGGCTCCAACCCTCGGAGGGAGAATTCCCAGGGCAGGTAACCCCAATCCCAAATCCCAAATTCCCTTCTGGAAAAATTTGGGATATTTTAGATCCTAAAACTTGTCCTGCTCCTCATTCTCAGGTTGTTCCCCCTTCTCCAGTGGACAGCCCAGGCTCCAACCCTCGGAGGGAGAATTCCCAGGGCAGGTAACCCCAATCCCAAATTCCCTTCTCCCTCCTGCCCCCAGGGATGGGAAGTGGGGTGGGGGAAATCCCAAAATCCTACAGAGGAGCCCTTAATTGCAATTAATGTCTGTGAGCTGCTCTGGGGTTCTACAAATGCTGCACTTGGGCTCCCCAAAAACTGATCCTGGACTCCCTAAAACTGATCCTGGACTGCAAAACTGATCCTAGACCTCACAAAATTGATCCTGGACTTCCCAAAACTGATCCAGAGCCCCAAAATTGATCCTGAACTTCCCAAAACCAACCCCAGCCCCCCAAAACAAATCCAATCCCAACCCCCCCAGACCAATCCAGGACTCTCCAAACTCAATCCAGGACTTCCTAAAACTAATCCCAGCCCCTCCAAAGTCAATCCAGGACTCCCCAAAGTCAATCCAGGACCCCCCCAAAACCAATCCAGGACTCCACAAACCAATCCCAACCCTTCCAAAACCAGTCCAGGACCCCCCAATCCCGACCCCAGCCCTCCCCAATCCCCCGTCCAGCCTCAGCCCCCTCGGGCTCTCCCCACTGACTCCTGCCTTCTCTGCTCTGCCCAGCCCCGAGCTGCAGCCTGGCAGCCAGGGGCATTCCCTGGCACACTCGGAGGGGTCTGGATCTTCCTCCTCGTCCTCCTCCTCCTCCCTGGAGGCTCCCCTGAAGCTGCGGCGCCTGAGCTCGGCCGGCGCCGCCAAGGCCGCGCTCTCGGTGGAGGACGACTTCGAGAAGCTCATCTGGGAGATCTCTGGGGGAAAACTGGAGGCAGAAATCGACCTGGATCCAGGGAAGGACGAGGATGATCTCCTGCTGGAACTGTCAGAGATGATTGACAGCTGAGAGGGGAGGTTTTGGAAAAAAAAAAACACCCAGGAAAAAAAAGACGCGACACCAAAAACAAAAAACCCTGAAAAAGCAAAATTTCCTCCTCACATCCCACAGAAATCCTGTAAATGTTGTTGGATCCGTGGAGGAGATCCTTGGCCAGCTGCAAGCACAGCTGGGTTGTTAGGATTAGGCAGAGTCTGCTCTCAGTTATCCCAAAATCCCGGGCTGGGTTTGTCCGGCGCTCCTCCCCGCGGCACAGGAGCGCCCCGAGGGGCCCAGATCCCATCTCCAGAGCTCCCTCCTGGACTGAGAATCCCAAAAAAGCCTGGAGTTACTGTGTCAACTCTGGAAGCCACGGATGGACTCGCGTTTGGGGGGAATTCGGGGAAAAGAGGGAAAGTCTGAGGCAGGATTTTGGACCAAAGCCTGCCAGGGTGAGCCTGGCTCGGGATGATCTGGGGGATTGTTTTTTTTCCTGGGATCCTGCCACGAGGGAAAGCAAAATTCCTCCTGGAATTGGGGGGAAGGGAGCATTGCTTCAAGTGCCTCTGCGTTCTGAGGATTTCTCCCTGCAGGATTTCTCCCACATCCAGCTGGGAAGGGGAAAAAAAAAAAAAAAAACACCTGGAATGTTCCCCCTTGGCTGCTTCCCTCCTTTCCAGCCCCTTGGAGATGGGATTGCCTGGAATCCCCCTGGGGTTTGTTTTTTCATTTTGTTTTGGGGTTGTTTTTTGGGGGTTTTTTTTCTGTAAATATTTTATTCTTCCATTTTATATTTGTATGATTCTATTTAAGGGATTAAAGGTAGGCTGCTCACTGCCGTGTTTGTGGGGTTTGGGGTTTTTTTTTAAGGAATGGCGTCAAACAGCTTGGGAATGCTGAGTGTTAATTGGGAATTAATGAGGCACAGGAGAGGGGCTGGAAAATCCTGAGGGAGCCGGGAAGGGTTTGGTGGAAATCTTGAGGGAAATGGGAAAGGTTTGGAGAGTCCTGAGGGAGCCGGGAAGGGTTTGGAGAGTCCTGAGGGAGCTGGGAAGGGTTTGGAGAGTCCTGAGGGAGCTGGGAAGGGTTTGGAGAGTCCTGAGGGAGCTGGGAAGGGAATGAAGAGTCCTGAGGGAGCTGGGAAGGGTTTGGAGAATCCTGAGGGAGCTGGGAAGGGTTTGGAGAGTCCTGAGGGAGCTGGGAAGCTCCCAGCCTGGAGCAAAGGAGGCTCAGGGGGAATTTGTGGCTCTGCACAACTCCCTGCCAGGAGGGGACAGCCGGGGGGGATTTGGGATCTTATCCCAGGGAACAGGGACAGGAGGAGAGGGAACGTGGGAGATGTTTCAGGGATTTTTTTGGCTTTTCAGGTCTTTGTGACCTTGAGGGATAAATGAACAGGAAAGCTCCGGCGCTGTAAGAGCGCAAAAATCACCTTTATTTTAGAGCCGGGTGTTTTAGGGCACAGCTCTGCTGTAGCTCTGAGCCAGGGGAACATTTTTAGGGAATTTATAAATAAATAATAGCAAATAAATACCAAATAAAGTAATAGCAAAAAAAAACCTAATACGAGCAAGAAAATCCCCTACTAACAGCAATAAAAAAATCATAAAAATAATGACTAAAAAGGTAAGAAAATACAACTGCCCTCACACCGCCGCTATCCCACAGTGCACCGCGCGGAGCTCTCCCCTCACACCGCCGCTATCCCACAGTGCCCCGCGCTCCTCCATTCCCCTCACACCGCCGCTATCCCACAGTGCCCCGCGCTCCTCCATTCCCCTCACACCGCCGCTATCCCACAGTGCCCCGCGCGGAGCTCTCCCCTCACACCGCCGTTATCCCACAGTGCACCGCGCTCCCTTTCCCCTCACACCGCCGCTATCCCACAGTGCCCCGCGCGGAGCCGCTCCGTCCCGCCGCTCTCTGTCCGCGCCCCGCGCAGCCATGGCGTACCGCGGGCAGGGCCAGAAGGTGCAGAAGGTGATGGTGCAGCCCATCGTATCCTGCCGCCAGCCCTCAGGGCGCAGGGGGAGCGCGGGGAGGGAAGGGAGCGGGGCGGGCGGGCTCCCCTCAGGGGCCGCGGTCCCGGCCCGGCCGTGTCCCGCGGCTCCCGGCTGCTCGGCTCTGTCCTTAACGCTCGGCTCCAGAACCTGATCTTCCGCTACCTGCAGAACGTGAGTGCCCGCGGGGAGCCGCGCAAAGGGCAGCGACGCCTTCCCTGCCCCAGGCTGCTGCAGCCCGGCCCGCGCCCGCCGGGGATGGGGCAGCCGCGGATTCCGGGGGATCTGCAGCTGGGAATGAGCCTGGAGTGCTGAAACTGGGATTTTTAACGGAATCCTGGAATGGGTTGGGTTGGAAGATCCTAAGGATCAGCCCATTCCCACCCCGTGGTCCCAGGGTGCTCCAAACCCCATCCAGCCTTGGGGGCTCCCAGGGATCCAGGGGCAGCCACGGATTCCCTGGGAATTCCAGGGAGGGATTTATTCCCAATATCCCACCCAAAGCAGCCCAGGGAATGCTGGAATGGGTTGGGATGGGAGGGATCATCCAATCCCATGGGCAGGGACATCTCCCACTATCCCATGCTGCCATTTGATCAATTTTATCCCTTTTATCCATTTGATCCTTTTTATCCACTCTCCAACCTGGCCTAGGACACTCCCAGGGATGGGGCAGCCATGGATCCTGTGGGAATTCACAGGCTGGGAATGAGTCAGGAGTCCTGAATTGGGATTTTTTTAATCCGGGGAAGGGGGATTTTTAATCCATTTATAAATCCAGGGAAGGATTTTTCCCACCCAAAGCAGCCCAGGGGATCCTGGAATGGGTTGGGTTGGGAGGGATCATCCAGTGCCATGGGCAGGGACACCTCCCACCGTCCCAGGGTGTAATTTGATTTATTTTACCCCTTTGAGCCACGGTCCAACCCAGCCTGGGACACTCCCAGGGATGGAGCAGCCTCAGCTCCTCTGGGAATTCCATCCCAGCCCCTCCCAGAGAGCAATTCCTTCCCAAAACCCCATTTAACCCCACTTAAACCCCATTTCTTTCAATTTGAACCCCATTTCAACCACATTTTGTTCCATTTAAACCCCATTAAACCCCATTTAAACCCCATTAAACCCCATTTCTTTCCATTCAAACCCATTTTAAACTCCTTTTAACCCCTTTTCTTTCCATTTAAACTCATCTAAACCCATTTTAAACCATTTAAACTCTACTTTAACCCTATTTAAACCCCATTTAAGTCCATTTAAACCCCATTTAACCCCATTTTAACCCCATTTCTTTCCATTTCAATCCCATTTAAACCAAATTTAAACCCCATTTCTCTCCACTGAATCCCCCCAACCGCAGAGCAGCCCCTCCTGCTCCTCCCCCGGGGAGCCCCTCCCTGATTTGGGGCTGGGGGTGGTCCCCGAACCCCCCCGCAAAGCCCCCAGACCCTTTTTGGTGCCCCCCCTGCAGAGATCCCGGATCCAGGTGTGGCTCTACGAGCAGGTGAACATGAGGATCGAGGGCTGCATCATCGTGTGTTCCATTTAAACCCCATTAAACCCCATTTAAACCCCATTAAACCCCATTTCTTTCCATTCAAACCCATTTTAAACTCCTTTTAACCCCTTTTCTTTCCATTTAAACTCATCTAAACCCATTTTAAACCATTTAAACTCTACTTTAACCCTATTTAAACCCCATTTAAGTCCATTTAAACCCCATTTAACCCCATTTTAACCCCATTTCTTTCCATTTCAATCCCATTTAAACCAAATTTAAACCCCATTTCTCTCCATTGAAGCCCCCCCAACCGCAGAGCAGCCCCTCCTGCTCCTCCCCCGGGAGCCCCTCCCTGATTTGGGGCTGGGGGTGGTCCCTGGGGGTTTGGGGGGGATTTTTGAGTTTCTGGGGGGTTTTGGAGGGGTTTGGGTTTTTTGGGGATGTTTGAGCTTGTTTGGGGTTTTGGATGGGTTTATTGGGTTTTTTTTGGACCATTTTGGTTGGGTTTTTTGTATTTTTGGGATATTTTTTTAAATAGTTTTTTGTGTTTTGGGGGTTTTTTAGGGTTTTTTGGGGTTTCACTGAGGTTGTGCTGCTCCTGCAGGGCTTTGATGAGTACATGAACCTGGTGCTGGACGATGCTGAGGAAATTCACTCCAAAACCAAATCCAGGAAGCAGCTGGGTAGGGCAGGGGGGCTGGGACCTAAAATCAGGGGTGGAACCTAAAATCTGGGACCCTAAAATCAGGGGTGGGACCCTAAAATCGGGGCTGGGACCTAAAATCAGGGGTGGGACCTAAAATCAGGGCTGGGACCCTAAAATTGGGGCTGAGACCCTAAAATTGGGGCTGGGACCTAAAATCAGGGCTGGGATCCTAAAATCAGGGCTGGGACCCTAAAATCAGGGCTGGGACCCTAAAATCGGGGCTGGGACCCTAAAATCAGGGATGGGACCCTAAAATCAGGGCTGGGACCCTAAAATCGGGGTGGGACCTTAAAATCAGGGATGGGACCCTAAAATCAGGGCTGGGACCCTAAAATCAGGCTGGGACCCTAAAATCAGGGATGGGACCCTAAAATCAGGCTGGGACCCTAAAATCAGGGATGGGACGCTAAAATCAGGGATGGGACCTGGAATCCAGGTTTGGGGTCCTGAACCTGGATGTGGGACCTTAAATCCAGGTTTTGGGGTTGGAATCCAAGTTTTGGGGCCAGAATCCAGCTGTGGGGTTGGAATTCAGGTTTTGGGATTGGGATCCAGCTGTGGAATTCGGCTCCAGGTTTTGGGATTGATCTCCAGCTGTGAGACTGGAATTCAGCCTTTGGGGCTGGGATCCAGCTGTGGGGTTGGGATCCTGGTTTTGGGGTTGGGATCCTGGTTTTAGGATTGGGATCCAGCTGTGGGACTGGGGCCAGGATCCAGGTTTTGGGGTTGGAATTCAGCTGTTGGGCTGGGATCCAGGTTTTGGGATTGTGATCCTGGTTTTGGGGTTGGAATCCAGGTTTTGGGGTTGGGATCCAGCTGTGGGACTGGAATTCAGGTTTTGGGAGTCTCCAGCTGTGGGATTGAGCTCCAGCTGTAGGATTAGGATCCTGGTTTTGGGATTGTGATCCTGGTTTTGGGGTTGGGATCCAGCTTTGGGATTGTGCTCCAGGTTTTGGGGTTGTGCTCCGGGGTTTGGGATTGGGATCCAGGTTTTGGGGTTGGGATCCAGGTTTTGGGATTGGGATCCAGGTTTTGGGGTTGTGCTCCAGGTTTTGGGATTGTGCTCCTGGTTTTGGGATTGTGCTCCAGGATTTGGGATTGTGCTCCAGGTTTTGGGGTTGGGCTCCATCTGTGGGGCTGTGCTCCAGGTTTTGGGATCCTGTTTTTGGGGTTGTGCCCAGCCCAGGCTCCCCACTCCCCTGTTCCAGGGCGGATCATGCTGAAGGGGGACAACATCACCCTCCTGCAGAGCGTCTCCAGCTAGGGGCAGCTTCCCGCTGGGAACGGGACTGGGAAACTGGGAATGCTGCGGGAACAGGATCGCGTCCCTCGGCTCCTCGGGAGTTCTGTTTTGTACTGTGGGGTTTTTTGGGGCAATAAAACGGGGTTTTCACAAAAGCTGGGAGTGGGGTTGCAGTCTCAGGGTGCGGGAAATGATTCCAAGGGTTTTTCCTGTTGGGGTTCAGGTTTTCGCAGGCCAAGCCCTTTAGCCCAAAAACAATCCCGTCTTCCTAAAATCCATCCCTTCTTCTCAAAAATAATCTTTAATTTCCCCAAACAAATCCCTTTATCCCATAACCAATCCCTTCTTCCCAAACCAAATCCCCTTTTCCTGAGACCGGTCCCTTCTTCCCCACAAAAAATCCCTTATTCTTAAAAATAATCTTTTTTTTTTTTTCCCCCAAAACCGATATCATTATCCCAAAAAAATCCTTTTCCCAAACAATCCCTTTTCCCCAATAACAAATTTCTTTATCCCTAAAAGAATCCTTTTTTTTCTTTTCCCCAAACTTGATCTCTTTATCCCAAAATCAAATCCCTTTTTCCAAAAGAAATCCCATCCTATCCTCCTCCAAGCCGTGGCTCTGCCTCCCCCGGGGGATTTTTCCTTCCCAGCTGGAATTCCTTTCCCAAGCCTCGGGAATTCCGTGGGAATTCTGCCTGGAGAATCCCAAATTCCGGCCAGAACGGGAAAAATCTTCCGGAGGGCTCCGGACAGAAGGGGGAACTGCGGGCCCGACCCCGATCCCAATCCCGGCCGCAGTTCCAGACTCCAATCCCGGCTCTCCCCGATCCCGGCCGGAATTCCCGGATCAGGAGGAGGAGCAGGAGCAGGGCCGGCATTCCCGGGGGGCTCCTCTTTTCCCGACCCTTTTTTGTCCCCCCGAGCCCGGGGCCGCTCGGGGCCCGGCGGGTGTTGGGGGGCAGGAGCGGAGCCCCGACTGGGGCCCCAGGGAGGGGTCTGGGGACAGCTGGCCCCAAAGTTCCGTTCGGGGGCCCCAAAATTCGGTTTTGGGGCCCCGTCAGCCACGAGCCCCGATCGGGGGGGTGAGATAAGGGGGTGAGATAAGGGCGGGCAGAGGGGGACAGGAAACGGGGACAGTGAGGGTGGCAGTGTCACCCCGCAGGTGTGCAAATCACTCCCGGGGACCGGTAAAGGACCTCGGGTCGGGTTTGTGTCACCTCCCCCTGTCCCCGACCACTGCCACCACCTCTCCGGGTTTGTGTCACCTCCCCCTGTCCCCGGCCACTGCCACCTCCCTGTTTGTGCCACCTCCCCCTGTCCCCGGCCACTGCCACCTCCCTGTTTGTGTCACCTCCCCCTGTCCCCGGCCACTGCCACCTCCCCGGGCTGGCGGCTGGAGAGCCGGGACCCCCCCAGGGTGGCCGGGTGACCCCCAGGGACGCGCGGGCCGTGGGGACAAAGCTCCGGAGCGGCTGAGCCCGACCTTGGGGGGCTGCTCAGCCCCGGGGCTGCGCTCGGGGGGGTTCGGGGCTGGGGTCGCTCCAGGGCTGCATCCCCAGGGTGGTCGCAGCCCTGGGGAGGGAAGGAACCGCGGCCGGGCTGAGTCCTGCAGGGACAGCGTCCCCTTCTCCGCCAGCCCGGAGCGCTCCCGGGGCTCTCCCGGAGCTCATCCCGGAGCTCATCCCGGGGCTCATCCCGGGGCTCTCCCGGAGCTCATCCCGGGGCTCTCCCGGAGCTCATCCCGGGGCTCTCCCGGAGCTCATCCCGGGGCTCTCCCGGGGCTCTCCCGGGGCTCATCCCGGGGCTCATCCCGGGGTTCATCCCGGGACTCATCCCGGAGCTCATCCCGGGGTTCATCCCGCGCTCCCGGCCGGAGTTCCTCCTGCCTTTCCCGGCTGTTGACACAGCGAGGGTGTCCCTGGGCACAGCGGGTCCCTTCCCTGCTCCATCCATCCCCCGGCCCGCCTCGGGCTGAGGAGGGGCTGGAATTCCGCTCCTGGAATTCCGCTCCTTCCCCTGCTGCTGGTACTTTGCTCCTGGAATTCTGATCCTTTCCCTGCTTCTGGAATTCCGCTTCTGGAATTCTGCTCCTTCCCCTTCCCCCAGCCTTTCCTCTGCCCCTCAGCTGAATTTCCCAGAGGGATCAGCCCCGGGAATCCGCTCCAGGAGCGCTCCGGGCCGGGCCGTCCCTTCCCGAGCGCTCTTTGGGTTCCAGGGAGCTTTTCCCGGGCGCTGCGGGAGCCAAAGGCCGCCGTGCCGGGGCAGCTCTGGGGGAGCCGCGGGATGGAAAATCGGGATATCGCCGGCTGGATGCGCCTGGAGGCAGAAGCGGGTTTGCGCCTTCAGCCTGGAATGTGCAGGGATGGGGGCATGGAGGATGAACCCCCCCGCTCTCAGCCCATCCCTGGGGGGTCTCTGGGTGGTCCCAGCCCCTCGGGCCGTGCCGTGCCGAGCCTTTTCAGGACGGTACAACCGTGCAAAAGCAGGGCGTGGGGAAGGAAACATTCCAGCCCCGTTGCTCTGCAGCGTCCCACACACGGAGCCGGCCCTCGGCAAAGCTCCGTGCGCGGCCGGGATCCGCGGGGAAGGCAAACAATGGCATCCCCGGGGACAACAATGGCCCATTGTCCTTTGAAGCCCGAACAATGGGACAATGGCCCTCAGTCCGCTCCCCCCGTTCCCAGGCACGCCCCCCCCGCGGCCCCGGGGCTCCCGCTGGCCCCGAGAGCCGCCGCGCTCGCCGCTCGCTGTCCCCCGCTCCCGCTCCGTCCCTCGCTCCCGGGGTGAGTCTGGGGGGGTCCCCGCGGCCTCTCCCGCTCGCGTGGGGTGTTCCCGGTAAAGCAGGAGGAGGTTTCCCTTGGATTCCCGGCGTTTCGGTGGCGGGGAGGGGATGGAAAAGTCCCGTCGGGTCAGGCGGGCCGTGCCCGGAGAACAGCGGGGCTTTGTTGTCTCCGGGGGTGGCCGCTCGTCAGCTCGCCCTGAAGGATTCCTGGGGAATCCGAACCCTCCTCCTCCTCCTCTTCCTCCTCGTGGCGCTGGGAACGAGCCCGCTCTGCAGCCGGCAGGGCGTGGGGGGCAGGAGGAGCCCCCCGTCCTGCACGGGGCACCCCGGGGAGCCTCTGAGCCGCTCCGCAGATGTCCCCAGGCCACCTCCAGCCACCCCCGAGGGTCCACCCGCTGTCCCCGTGGTCCCCAGGAGCAGCCGAGAGTGGCGGATCCCGGCTGGGGACACCGGGGGTGGCACGGGGCTGGGTGGTGCCACCCCGGGGGTCCCTCCGGGAGGGCACGGCCGCAGGGCAGAGGCCGAGGAACCTCTCCTTGTGCCCCCAGGGGCTCCCAAAATCCGGGCGTGCTGCAGAGCCAGGGCTGGGGGAGCCGGCACCGCCGGATCCAGGGTCAGGACTGGGCTCGGAGCCGCTCTGGGATCAGCCCAGCTGGCACCGGGCCCGGTCACCTCCCCGGTGCCACCCCCGTGTCCCTGCCAGCATCCTCGGCCGCTGCTCTGGGGCCACCTGGGGGCTCATTTGTCCTTTTTTGGCGCGGGCATGGGGGACAAGGGGACCTGGCTGTTCCCAAAGGCCACCAGCAGCCTCCAACGCCCTTTGCAGGCTTCCAGGACCCCCTAAAACCCCAAATCCCGCCCCAAATCCGCTCCTGTCGGCACCTACGGGCAAACAAACGCACCTGAATAGGGAATGAATGGAGTGAGAAAAGAGCCCGGAGCACTTTGTGCTCGCAGCGAGCGGGGAACAATCGCTAAATACAAACCAGCGAGAGAAAAGGCAGGGAGAGAGAGAGAGAGAGACAAAAGCAAGAACGGCGGCACAAAGGAGAGGAATGAAATGGTAAAGTAAAGTCAAACAAAAAGGAGCCGGGCTGAGACAAAAGGAGGGAACAATATCCCCGAGGCAATAGGCTCCTGAACAATGGGGACAGTGACAGCGGCACAAAGACGCTCTGTTTGCAAGTAGACGTTATCTCACACAGCCACTGGCAGGCCTGGCCCCGGCGCTTCTATTTTCAGGGATGCTTTTGTGCTGCGCCGAACAATATTCCTTGCATGGCTGCAGATACAGAGATCAGGGGAGCCTTTTTTTTGGGTTGGTTTTTTTTTTTTTTTTAGCTTTCCCGGTGCCAGCTCTGCCATAAAAACAGGTTCAGCCCTTTGGAGGACGCGGCAGAGCGAGCTGAGGGCGATGCGGTGACAATGCCAGGGGAGGGGGTGGCATCAGGAGGTGCCACCAGGCCGGGCCACGGCGCAGCCGGAGCCGCGGGGGCTTTGGGGTGGAGAGTCCGGGATTTTGGGAGGGAAAATCCTGGTTTTTGGGATGGACAGTCCAGGGTTTTAGGATGGAAAATCTGGAATTTTAGGATGGACAATCCGGGGTTTTGGGATGGACAATCTGGGATTTTGGGATGGACAGTCCAGGGTTTTAGGATAGAGTCCCGGATTTTGGGATGGACAATCTGGAGTTTTAGGGTAGACAATCCGGGGTTTTAGGATGGACAGTCTGAAATTTTAGGATGGACTACCTGGGGTTTTGGGATGGACAACCCGGGGTTTTGGGATGAACAATCTCGAATTTTAGGATGGACAATCTGGAGTTTTGGGATGGACAACCCGGGGTTTTGGGATGAACAATCTCGAATTTTAGGATGGACAATCCGGAGTTTTGGGATGGACAACCCGGGCTTTATGGGCTCGCAGTTTGCATTTGAAGGGACCGGGCAGACCTGCAGGATGGATTTTGCGGTTCCTTTTGTTGGCAGCGCTTTTGGAAGGTGCTGGCACGGCTGGCACGGCTCCCTGGCACCCCTCGGCCGCCGAGGAGTCACCCGGGCCCGGTGACACTCGGCGGTGGCACAGTTTAGGGGGGACAATGTGCAGGGCACGGCTGGGCCGTGCTGGAGCAGGAGGGGCAAGGATGTCCCCGAGGATGTCCCCGAGGATGTCCCCAGGGATGCCTGCTCAGGTTTTGGCACTCCTGGAGCCACAGCTCCCGGTTTTCCCGTGGGATTGGGGTTGGCAGGAGCTGTTTGGGGCTGCCCTGTGCTCATTCCCTGGAATTCCTCATCCATGGAGAGCTCCGGCTGTGCCTGCGCTGATTTGTGGGATCACGGAGGTGTCATCCCAGAAAAATTCCCCTTCTGG